GTACCCCAGTCGAGGTCTCCCGGTTCCTCCTCCCCCCCTCTTCCTGACTGCCGTTCCCCCTCCTGCTCCCCCGGTACAGCCTCCCCCCCCTGGTCCAGCCCCGTCAGGTGTGTCCCAGGCTACCCCTCCTCCTTCGGTAGCCCCTCCGGTACAGCCTCCCTCCCCACAGTCCTCCTCGCAGCGTGCCGCTGGTGCTAGCTCTCGAGAGGTTGGTGCGGCGCCTGTTCCTGTACCGGTTTCTGGTTCTGGGGGTGCTGGAGTTGGAGCTGGAGTTGGAGCTGGAGTTGGCACTGGAGTTTCTGGTTCTGGGGGTACTGGAGTTGGAGCTGGGGTTGGAGCTGGAGTTTCTGGTTCTGGAGTTGGAGCTGACCCGGTGGGTGCAGAGGACTCTTGTCGTCCGGGAGCTGGTGCTGGCCGCGCGGACACTGGGGGTGCTGCGTCTGGGGGTGAGGGTGCGCCTCCTTCGGGTTCAGGTGAGCCTGGTTCTGGAGCTGGTGTTAGTGCTGCCTCTGGGGGTGGTGCGCCTAGTTCTTCTGAGGTGGACTCTGGAGCTGCCGCTGCTTCGGACACTACTCCACCCCCCCACCCCTACCCGACTAGGCACCAGGCTCGTGTTCGCCGTGCCCGTGACGAGCAGCTGGCGTTGGAGAGAGAGGAGAGGGAGTTACAGCGGCTGGAGGAGCAGCAGCAGCAGCTGGAGCCGCAGGAGCAGCAGCAGCAGCAGCAGCAGCTGGACCCGCAGGAGCAGCAGTCCCAGCAGCAGCCGCGTCCGCAGCAGCAGCAGTCGCAGGCGCAGCAGCAGCAGCCACTTCCTCCTCCTGTCTCGGGTCTTCGGATCCTTGGTCTCCCCTCCCCTTCTCCTCCCTCCTCCGCCTCTCCTCCTGTCTACGGTCCCACGTTTCCTCCTCCTGACTCCTCCCCCGCTGTTTTCCCCAGTTCTCCGCCTTTGTCCTCTCCTCCTCCGTCTCGTTCTTGGGCTACTCGTCGCTCCCCTCGTGCTCGTCCCTCGTCTCCTGTTCCCTTCACTGACCTTCGTACTGCCTTCCTTCTTTCTAGTCCACCTCGTCCGTCTCAGTCTGTGCTTCCGTCTCCTCCTGAGTCGGCCCTCACTGTGTCGCTCCCTACTCCTGTCACTGACTACTACCGCACGTACCGTCCTGTTCTCTCTCGTGTTCTCGCCTCTCTTGTTACTCACCCTCGTGCCTCTGTGTCCTCTGTGTCCGCTCTTACTGCCGCAGTTACTGACTTTGCCTCTACCCGCCGCCTTGACTACGCCACCAGGCTTGTGGCTGCTCCTCCTACCAGTCCTCTGGCCGTCGGGGGTGTGTCTGCCCTTGGCTGTGACGCCCTAGAGGACAGGCAGTTTGAGCTAGAGTTCCTGGCGGCCGCTTCCCCTCATCTCTGTGCCATGCTCCTCGCCCCTGAGGGTGACCCCGACGCCCTTGACATTCCGACTCCTCGCACTTACGCTGAGGCAGTGTCAGGGCCTTGGGCCTCTCAGTGGAGAGCTGCCATGGACGCAGAGATGGCCTCCTACAGATCCACAGGCACCTACGTCGATGAGGTTCCCCCCCCTGGGGCGAACGTAGTCGACGGCATGTGGATCTACAGGGTGAAGCGGCCACCGGGATCTCCCCCGGTCTTCAAGGCGCGCTACGTGGCTAGAGGTTTCAGTCAGCGCGAGGGAGTTGACTTCTTTCAGACCTTCGCTCCTACCCCGAAGATGACCACTCTTCGGGTGTTACTACACGTAGCAGCACAGAGAGCCTACGAGTTACACTCTCTCGACTTCTCCACTGTTTTCCTTCAGGGCAGCCTACACGAGGAGGTCTGGTTGCGTCGTCCCTCGGCCTTCACTGGCACCTTCCCTCCTGGGACCCAGTGGAGGCTGAGGCGACCTGTTTACGGTCTTCGCCAGGCCCCTCGTGAGTGGCACGACACTCTGCGTTCTACCCTCTCTGACCTTGGGTTCCAGCCGTCTTCTGCCGACCCGTCGCTGTTCGTTCGTCGTGGCTCCACACCGTTCTTTGTTCTGGTCTACGTCGACGACCTCGTTTTCGCCACTTCGGACAGGGTTGCTTTGGCAGACGTGAAGTCCGAACTGCAGAAGAGACACACGTGCACTGATCTTGGTGAGCTGCGCCACTACCTTGGCCTGCAGATCACCAGGGACAGAGCCGCTCGCACCATTACACTCTCACAGTCACACATGGTGCAGCAGGTCCTTCAGCGGTTCGGGCTTCAGCACTCCACCGTACAGCGCACACCTCTAGCTGTTGACCACAGACTCACTGGTCCCTTTCCTGACGAGCCGTTTGAGCCTAGTGGTCCCTACGCAGAGCTTGTGGGTTGCCTCATGTACCTGATGACTTGTACTCGCCCGGACCTCGCCTTCCCTCTCAGCATCCTTGCGCGCTTTGTTGCGCCAGGGAGACACCGTCCTGTTCACTGGACGGCAGCTGTGAGGGTGGCGAAGTACCTAGCGACTACATCAGGCGTGGGGCTAGTTCTTGGAGGGCAGCAGTCTGTCGTACTCACTGGTCACTGTGACTCCTCTTACGCTGACGACGCTGAGACTCACAGGTCTACTCAGGGGTACTGTTTCAGTCTGGGTTCTGGAGCTGTTTCCTGGCGTTCCACGCGCTCCTCTTCTGTCTCGACCTCTACAGCTGAGGCTGAGATTTACGCTGGTGCCATGGCGGCACAGGAGTTACGGTGGTTGACCTTCTTGCTCGCCGACCTTGGTGAGCGGCCGAGCTCTGCACCGACCTTGTTTACTGACAACAAGGCGTCGATCCTCCTCTGTCGTGAGCCGCGACTGGAGAGCAGAGTGAAGCACATTCACGTCAGGTACTTTCTTCTGCGAGAGTTGTAGAGGCGTGGACAGGCTCGCTTCGAGTTTGTAGAGTCCAAGGCCAACACTGCAGACATCTTCACCAAGGCGCTTCCGCCTTGTGACCACCAGAGGTGTTGTGTGCAGTTAGGCCTTGTTGACATAGGTTCTAGTCATGCGTAGACTTGAGTTTATTGCCTGCTTCGTCTGTACACTTACTATATATACTTGTGATCTCTTGGACTGGCCTTGTGGCCACTGTTGCTTGTGCTCAGAGTGTGTGGTGACGTTGTGATCCACCCTGAGCTTTGTTTTCTTTTGGACTGGTCTTGTGACCGTACTCTTTTTTGTTTTTGCTAGACACCCCTCACTTAGGCTATGGGGGTGTGTCAAATGTTGTAGCCTGTAGTGAGGTTTGTCTTAGGGGGTACAGAAGTTAGGGTTTGTCATATGTACCCCAACCAACATCAATGCAACACCCATTCCTCATTCTGACACCCGGCTCACTCAGATCTCACGTTCACCGCGGTCGACTAGGGCATTGCTCATTCTATACAGCTCGGGCTCCCAATACAGCAGCCGCGGTGCGGTGCGTTTGTGGCACAGCGTATGCTGACCCAGTGAGCCCGCATCATGCTCTGCGATGCAAGCATCGGCACGGTTCATCTCATGTGCATGACGAGGTGAAGTTTGCGGTGGCGAGAAGGCGTCAAGGGGGGTGGTGACAATGGAGGATAGTCTGGTGCTGCCGGGGAAGCGGGTTGACGTATCGGTGCGACGACCAATGGTCGGAGATGCTCACGCTCTAGAGATCAGCGTCGCGGACCCGCTATCACATCTCTATCTCTGCTAGGGCAGTGCGGGCGTTCCATAGCAGTGGCGGCAAGGTAGTGGGAGCGTCGCAAAACGAGTGATTGCGCACCTCTGCTTGCATGCAACCGGGGCGTGCAGATCACCCCTCTGATAGTAGAGACGTGGGGGTGTCTGGGCTGTCGTTTTTGCCGATGGCTTCGGCAGAAGGAGGATGCGCACTTGGGCTAGCTGTGTCACGGGGGGGCATGTCGGGAGGATGACACAACGTTTTCGGCCGCTGGGGTCTTTGAAGGCGCTCATTGGGGTGGCGTTACAACTGGCTCAAGCCCGTGACATTTTACTCCGTGCGGCGCCTTCCATGAGGGAATCGACATTGATTTGGTGGACAGGGAGAGGGAAGACGCACAGGTGGAGGGTGGGGTTCTCTGGGTGGAGGCCTCGTACATGGTGGATGCACGTATGATGGCTGAGGGTTGGAATGGGATGGGAGCAAGGTTTGGAATATGATAAAAGTGGCCAGAGAGGTTAATTCTCTTAAAAACTGAATGGTAGTATGCAGGGATAACCCTAGCATGTAAACATTGACAGATCACAATCTAGTGCTGGTCTAATCACAACTGTCTTCTAGATTGCAAGTAACTACATATCCTCTTAGGATTAGTACAAGAATGCATATTGGTTGTACACTATCACTATTGTTTGTCCTATTGTTGAGCAAATTGTCGAGTCGTCGTGCATTTCAACTGTGAGCAACATTTTTGGACGGCTCCAGTCAAGGTCGTTGGGCAAAGCCCAGGTGAAGCAGGGCGGACAAAAGTTCGGCAATGGCAGGGGTGAAATCTGCCCTGCGCTTCGGCAGATTGAAATAGGTGGGGCTCATTCAGTTTTTCTTCCTAAATTGAAACCCGGACACCCCACTCGACATCCAAGTCAGGGTTTCGTCCCCTGAGTTGATCTCGTTGCAACGAAATGTGAACTTCCCCACAACCGCCAAGCCAGCACAACATGACCCGTTTTGACCAATTCCAGGCCAGATTACGCTCTCACCGGCGCCTCTTCCCTGCCTGTGTTGGTGGTGGTCAGGTTGAGAAAACGCGGGAGAAATTCCGGAGGAACCCCACACAGCAGCTTAGTAGAGTTGTGTGATTGGGAACAGGGAGATTGTGCAAGGCTGCCAGACTCATCATCCATTAGGGTTTCCATTAGTCATGCTGTTCTACGCGACCTTTCAGTGTTGAAGCACAACGGCCCCTGTCGTCTGCTAACCTTAGGGCCAACTGCCGCTGCCTTCACTTTTGCTTTCTCTTTGAGAAATGTTTGGTAAACATTCTCGCAGCTCATAACCCTTGCAGTCATGCTTCAGACGATTAACAGGGTCTTTACCCATAGCACCAGCTTCAAGAGAAGGGGAAAGGGGGATCATGAAAACAGCGGAGACAAGTCCCCGCTTAGCGGAAAATACTCTGCCGCAGGGGATCAGCGACCAGACTCCCCTATTCGACTCGGATCGCCGTCGATTGCAGCGCTAGGCGAGTCGACGCTTAAGAAGATCGTTAACCGGTCGTTCTATGGCGACACGTCGGTGGAGCCGCTTGTCGATGGGAGGGGGGGAACGGGGAAGGAGGTTCCGACGGAAATGCTCGCGTTCGAGATAGGAGCCATCATGCGTCGCACGCTCGAAATATGCGACTCCATGTCCGAGAAAATGCTCTCATCGCTGCGCGCCAACCTTCAGGTCCGATAAGGTTTACCTCGGTATACGCCGTTAGTGTGGTCTTGCAGCTCTTTTCCCGTAGCTGCTACACGTGGCTCCATTCGCGTGCGACTTTTGGTCAGCGTTCTTATTGTTAGTCAACGGTCTCTGCTCCAGGTCTCCTTACTCCTCCCTGCCTTCACTTCTCTCCTCTTTCCGACGAGCCTCAGTATGCATGAATCTCATAGTTTTCCTTGTGGCTTCGCTCCGCGCAGGCGCCTGGCGTTGTAACTTTAATCTCCAGCGACCTTAGAGTACTATGGGGCCTCGCGGGGTACGAGAAGCATCAGGAGCTGCGGTCCGTCGCGTGCCGCGTCGCGGTGTTGGGTCGCAAGTGCCGGGAATCGCGACTACACCGACTCGAGCGGCTCTTTGCGCGGCTCGACAGCACAGATGCCGATTATAAGATGTTCGCCGCGTCTTCCGCTGAAGGGGAGGTGCTTCTTAGGTGAGCTGAAGGGGAGGTGTCTTTTAAGGTGATACAATGTTGATCAGGGGTAGTGTGAGTGCTGTGATGTGGATGATTCTATTGGAGAGGTGATGGTGTTGCGAGTCTTGTTCTCATGAGTTGCGTTCGCGTTCCCTTCCCATTCTTCCTTCACGCATGGCGCGGTGTTTGCACTGCACGGTATGGCATGGTGTGGCACGGTATGGCACGGAATGGCACGGTTTGGCACGGTATGGCACGGCAGGTTCATGCGCGAGCAAGCGGAGGCGACGAGCGAGCTGAAGAGCGAGATGGAGTCCATCCAGGAGCTGCACAGCCGGTGAGCGCGCGCCATGAGAAAGAGGGGTGGGGGGAGGGGGAACGAAGGATGTGGGGCGGGGGGAGAGAGGGAGGAGGTGAATGGAATGGAACGGGGGAAATGGAGGCGGGGAAGTGGCGGGGGGATGGTGTCATTCCCGCCGCACCCGTACCCCTTGTCCCCTGCCCCTTCTTCCCCAATACATGTACTCCTTGAGGAGATGGTTACTCAGGGCAAGCTGGTAGCGCGGCTGCTGCCTGCTGACACGCCTGTCATTCTCCCCCCCCCACCCCACCCACCCCTTTCCGCCCATTTCCCGCGTGGCAGCATTCAGGAGTACGGGGAGTGGAACTCGCTGCAGGAGATGGTGACGCAGGGCAAGCTGGTGGAGAAGCTGCAGGGCCACTGCCTCTGGGCGTACCACCTCGACTTCCTCGTGCAGGTGGGTGCTCTCGAAGCACCGTTTACAGCATTAGCATCAGGATCAGCGTCAGACCCCCCCTACAACCGCTTCCACCTCAAGCTCCCTCTCCGCACCTGACTCCTACCCTCTCCCCCCCCCCACCACCCTTCACCCCCCCACCTCTCCTCCCACCCCCCCCCGCGCGCTCATGCGGCAGCTGCTCATCATAGCAGCATGCTACGTGCGCAAGAAGATCTTCGCAGCGTTTGGGCACGGCATGTGTCCGCCGCGCATCCGGGAGGCGTGTGTGGGGGAGGCGGGCCTCGCGCTGCACTATGCCAACGTGGTGGTGCTGCTGGAACGGATCATACAACAGCCGGACGAAGTGCTAGGGCCTACAAGGTGCGATAGGGCTCAGACATACCCGGGTAGGGCTGTATGGCATGCCATGACTTGGTTGGTTGGCATGGTGGTGCTATCAGCTCGCGCTGCACTATGCCAACGTGGTGGTGAACGAATCATCTAGCAACCGGATGAAGTGCTGGGACCCACCAGGTAAGGGAATGACATGGCGTGGTATGGCATGGCATGCTGGCATCACGTGCCCTTGTGTGCAGCTGCAGGACGCACTCAACTTCAACCCCTCCTTGTTCCTGCCCCACTCCCTCTACCCGCCCTTACCCTCGCTCTTCCCCACGTTGCGTGCAGGGACGAGCTGTACGAGATGCTGCGCGTGCAGCTGCAGGGCGCACTCAACTTCACCTCCTTGTTTCCCCCATTTCCCCTTCCAAACTCCCTCTCGCCTAACCCCCTCCCTCTGCTACACGCATGGACGAGCTGTACGAGATGCTGCCGCGTAACATCCAGTACCTGCTGCGCGTGCAGCTGCAGGACGCTCTCTACTTCACGCCGTCCCCCACTCCCTTCCCCCCCCCTTCTCTCCCCTAATGGTGCAGGGACGAGCTCTATGAAATGCTTCCGCGCAACATACAGTACCTGCTGCGCGTGCAGCTGCAGGATTCACTCAACTTCCAGGCGGATGGGCGAGTGGAGGCGAATCTCAAGCGCGGGCTGCTGCTGCTGCCCACCATGGCGCACAACACCATCACCTGGCACTCGCTGCACACCCCTGGAGCTGCTCTTGACTCCTCTGAGACGGTGTTTCAAGTGCAGGTGGGTGGTTCGAGGCTGGGTGTGCCAGGTGTATGGCTATGATTCGCGAATTCCCTTGCACTGCTGCTGCTGCCCACCATGGCGCGCAACACCATCACCTGGCACTCGCTGCACAGCCGGGGGCCTCCCTTGACTCCTTGGAGACGGTTTTCCAAGTGCAGGTGGGTGGATCCGCCACTCGCTGCTGATATGCACTGCTTGCACCCCTGATGCTGCTTTTGCTGCTGCTGCTGCTGCTGCTGCTGCTGCTGCTGCTGCTGCTGCTGCTGCTGCTGCTGCTGATCAATTAGAAGTGCCTCATTCCCCACTCACATCCCTCCCCACTCACATCCCTCCCATCCCGCCCGTTCCCTCCCGTTCCCTCCCTTCCCACCACCCAGACCTTCTATTTCACGAATGTGCAGGCGGTAAACGCCACACTAGTGGACGTGCGCCTCCTGGGCCTGTGCCGCATCTGCGGAGTGGAGTCGCCCATCGGCTGTGCCTCCACACAGCTGTGAGAGTGAGACGTCTCATCCCCTCTGTGACCCTCTGTCTCTTCCCCCGCCCATTACCCTCCAGACGTTCTACTTTGCGAATCTGCAGGCAGTGAACGCCACTCTAGTGGACGTGCTCCTGGGCCTGTGCCGCATCTGCGGCGTGGAGTCCCCTATAGGCTGTGTGTCCACGCAGGTGCCGGCCTCCCTCGACTACTCCCAGCTCGTGGCAGAGAAGGTGGCGGAGGCGGAGCGCCAGTTCCGCAAGGCGTGTGGCATGGATGAGAGGGACGAGGACTGGTTTGGGGGGGAGGTCACCAAGGTGCATGATGACTCGTGCCAGGCTAGACGCGCGCAAACGCCGAGGGGTGGTGAGGCGGCTCCAGTAGCTTCAGCAGTGTCAGTAGTTTCAGCAGCTTCGGGCAGTGTTGTGCGGGAAAAGGGCTTGCAGTGCAATCGACCACACACGCCCGCGCCCACTGCTGCTACTGTCTCCGCCTCTTCTACATCGTTTGCTGCCACTGCCGCTGCCAACGCTGCTGCTGCTGCCTCTGCTGCTGCCGAACTTGGTGCCAGTGGTTCTGCTGCTGCTTCTTGCTCCAGTGGAGAAGGAGAGGGCAGCAGGGGCACAAGCACGGCCACTAACATGAATATACACAAGAGCAGTAGCACAGGCAGTGCTGGTGGCGGCGGTGGTGTGAATGGCGGCAGTGACGGCACAGGCAGCCCTGCCTTCGTGACTCCCCCCGAGTCCCCTGCCAGCGCCGTTTCCCTGCCCTCTGCCATCCCTGTGTCTCGCTCTGAAGGTGGGGGGGTGGAGAGGAAGGGGGGTGCTGGGAGGAGGGAGAGGGGGAGGACGGGTGGTAGGGACGGGGAGGAGCAGAGTCAGAGCCTGGAGGAGAGGGGTGGAGAGAAGGCGGGGAGTGGGGAGGAGTTGGGTGAAGCGGAGAAGGGTGGGAAGAGCAGGGCAGGAGGCAGTAGGGCTAAGAAGAGCAGCCAGGGTGAAAGGTCCAGCAGCAGCGGTAGTGGCAGTGGTAGTGGCAGCGGTAGTGGCAGTGGTAGTGGTAAAGTGAGAGGCAGAAGCAAGCTGCAGGAGAAGGAGCTTCCACGAGCCCACACGGCGCCTACTGCTGAAACAGCAGCAGCAGCGGTGCTTGATGTACGAGATAGTGGCGGTGACGGCGGTGGATCCCCTTCCAGAGTCCCCAGCAAGCCCTCCTCTGGCCGCCCCACGAGATCCAGACCCAGTAGTAGCCGGTTCAAGGGGACAGATGCGTCTGGTCCTCCTGCTGCTGCTGCTGCTGCTGCTGCTGGTGTTGGTGGTGTTGGTCCTTGTGGTTCCTCCTCCTCCTCCCCCTCTCGTCTCCCCACGCCTCCCCCTCCCGCCACCTACTCCCGACCGCGCATCCCCTCCTCTCGATCAGACAGCTCCTTCCTGCAGCAGCAGGGGGGCGGAGGGCAGAGAGGGAAAGAGAGCATGCGAAACAGCGGCGGCGGGGTGTGTAAGAGCCAGAGCTGCAGCCCACAGGCAGACAGGCTCGTGGTTGCTTCCTGTGCTTCCTCCTCTCCTGGTCGCCCCTCCCCTGGCCGACTCTCCCCAAGTGACGCCTCCCCCAGTCGAGCCTCCCCTAGTCGCGGCTCCCCCGGGCAAGCCTCTGGGTGCTTCTCCCCTCAGGGCCTCCCGTTCCTCTCCCCCGCTGGTACCCCCTCCCCTGCTGACTCCCCCCGCTCGTCCCGACTGGGGCGGGGGGAGGCAAGGGGGAACGTGGGGGAAGGATTGGGGGAAGGAGAGGCCAGAGGGGAGGGGCGGGGGGCAAGAGAGGCGACTGGGGAGGTATTGGGCGGAAGAGGGGCCACTGGGGATGGGCAGGGGGAAGGAGAGCAGGAGAGGGAGACACAGGGGGGGGCAGAGTTAGAGGCGGCCACAGGGGAAGCGAGGAAACGGAACAGCAGGAGCAGTAAGAGTGGTAGTGGCAGACAAAGACGAGGCGAGTCCGGGGGAGGCGATCAGGAGAGGAGCAGCAGCATCAAGAGCACCAACAGTGGAAGCAGCAGCAGCAGCAGGAGGGGCAGCAGCAGGCAGGGCAACACAAGCAGCAGCTCTGCTGCAAACCCTAAATCCGTCCCACCATCCTCCTCAGCCGTTTCCTCTACCTCCTCCTTCTCGTCCGTCCCTGGCTCTTCCTCCGCCGCCTCTTCTGTCGCCCGGCAAGTCAGCACAGACTCATTCATTTCCACAGACACAACCGATCCCCACTCCTCCTCCTCCTCCTCCTCCTTCACCTCCTCTGCGCTCTCTTCCGCACTCTCCTCCCTGCCCTCCTCCATCCCCTCAATCCCCTCCTCCGCCTCCTCCTCCTCCTCGTCCTCTCGAGGCTGGGGGTCACAGCGATGGGGCTTTGGCAAGTCAAGATCCATGCGAGTGACCACAGCTCCTCCCGCCACACCTCCTCGCCCCTCCACCCCTCCTCCCAGCAGCTTCTCTTCCGATCCCATGCTTGCTGCTGGTGCCACTGATTGGGATACCGAAAGCCCTGCTGTTGCCAGGGTTGACGGGAGCCTTTCACCGGATCATTCCCTCTCCTCCTCTCTGCTCTCCCCCTCGCTGCTGGAAACCAGGCGACTACGCAAAGCCATGCAGGGAGGGGCGATAGTGGGGTGTTTCACCGGGGGTGGGGCAGCAGCAGCTTTGGACAGCGAGTCAGAGGCGGAAGGGGGACGGAGGGCGAGGGGAGGCTCTAGGCCTGGTACAGGCAGGTCTAGCGGGAGGGTGAAGGGCGAGCGAGTGAGTGGGGAAAGGGTGAGTGGAAGAGCAAGTAGTGAATCAGGTGGCTCAGGGCGCCGATCGAAGCTGCTTGGGGGTAGCAGCAGGGAGAATGTCAAGGGCAGTGGGGATGGGAGCGGGAGTCGGAGTGGTGATGCTGAGGGAGCGACCAGCAGCAGCACTCCAAGAAAGACGAAGCATTTCTACTCCCAGCCAATGCCGCCGCGTGCGCAGTGGAATGAGCAGATGGGGGTTGCAACGGAGGCTGACGGGGCCTTGTAAGCACAATGTATACATCCATATATACTGCGCAAGGTGCTAATTTTATTGATTTGTTCGTACCGTAACATGCCTTACAGAATTTTCTGGCTGTGGCCTTGCTGAAAGCCTATTGCTGATCTTATTTATTTATTCTTGACACGGTTATGAGTGTTATAAACGAGCAAAATTGTGAACACTGTTGATTGTTATAAGCTGTAGGTAGGCAGGTGCTGAGTGTTACGGGTGCAATGAATCGAAGTAGCGAGAATTGCACTAAGGTGTCAAACGAGTACAAAATGTGAGCGAAGGCATGAGCGAACATTTATACGCGAAACATGCAAAACGGTAACGCGGTGCGTGCGAGCTTGCTAGTGCTACGCTGGAGCGAGGCTCGGGCTAGTCCCGAAGCGTAGGCCGATACGGCCATGCCAGCAGTGCGAGGTTTGGCAAAACGGTGCGCGCGAAGTCGGCGAAGTTCCGTTAGCAGTAACGGGCGAACAATCGGCTGTTGCTGTACGCGATGTAGTCGGCCCCGTAAGGAATGCCGAGAAAATTCCTTACACTACCCCCCCCCTTAAGAAGCCCCCTCCGCTACGCGAGTGCGTGTATATCGCGGAATCCCCGGCTCCTCAGGTACACTTGCAGGGCAGGGTGATTTTCGATGTTGCTCAGGGGCACCCAGCTATCTTCAGTTGGCGTGCGGTCTTTCCAGCGAACGAGGAATTCAATCCTCCTGATTCCCGTGGGGTGGCGGATCCGATGGCTCAGAATTTTGTCGGGCTCGATGATCGGCTCTGATGCAGGGCGAGTCATTGATTGTGGCCGGTGACGCGGCAGTTGACTTGTGGTCGGGATGTATGGGCGAAGTAGGCTGACGTGGAACGAAGGGCTGATGTACCAGTCGGTTGGCAACAGTAGGTGCGCGGTGACGGGTGTGATCATGTGACTGATTTGGAATGGTCCACAGTAGCGCGGTCGTAATTTTGGTACGTCGGGCAGTCGCAGATTTTGCGTGTCAAGCAGCACGTAATCTCCAGATTGGTACGTGACAGGACGGCGGTGGCGATCAGCGTTGCGCTTAGCGATGACGTTGGCCTTTTTTATTGCTTCGGCGGCTCTGGCGCGGGCAGCTTGCAGGATTTCGGCGAATTGTTGTGCACGTGGCGTTGGGTTGTCCGGACTCGGCGTCATGGGCACTGTGGGGTTTTGCCCATAGTTCAGGTAGAACGGGGACTGCTGCGTCGTGGCTGATGTGGCGTTGTTGTACGCGAACTCGATCAGCGGCAGCTGCTGCTCCCAGGTCGTGGGGTCGTCGCACGTGGCACGAATCAACTGCTCCATCGTCTGATTCGTCCGCTCCGTTTGGCCGTCGGTCTCGGGGTGGTACGACGAACTGAACTGTAGCCTGGTCCCGAACTGCTCCCAGAGGTTCTTCCAGAAGTTGCTGGTAAACTTCGTGTCCCTGTCGCTGATAATTGCTGCTGGTATCCCGTGCAGGCGAACAACGGCTGCGATGAACAGGCGAGCGGTCTCCTCGGCCGAGATTGACTTTTTGCACGCAGCGAAGTGTGCCATCTTCGTCAGCCTATCCACGACGACCATCACCGCGTCGTTACCCCCAGGGTTCGAAGGTAACCTTGTGACGAAGTCCATGGTTACTTGCTGCCAGGCGCGTTCGGGCGGTGGGATCGGCTGCAATTGACCCGCCTTCCGCTTCCTTGAACTCTTTATCACCTGACACGTAGGGCACGAGCCCACGTGCTGCTGTACGTCGGTCAACAGCTCCGGCCAGTAATAGTACCGCTGTAGTTGCTGTCGTGTTTTTTCTACCCCGAAATGTCCCGAGGTAACCCCGTCGTGTGCCTCCTGCAGCAGCAGCTCCCTCAGTAGTGAGTACGCGGGTACCCAAATGCGGTTGGTGCCTGTTTTTACGTAATAGACTCCTTTTGCTTCTGCCAGTTGCTGTGAATTTCCGGTCGTGAAGAATGGGTCGGTGCGGTATCCGTGGGTGAATAGGCCAGTTAAAAGCGGGTTGGTCTGGGCGAGTAGGATGGCGTGGAGTTGGGCGGTGGGGCGGGTGAGAGCGTCGGCGATGTTGGATGCGCCTTTTTTGTACGTAACGGTGTAGTGAAAATTGGACTCGAGATAGTCCAACCAGCGAATCTGTCGTGGGTTGAGATTCGGTTGGGCGCGAAGGTACTGTAGCGAGCGGTGGTCTGTCCGTACTGTCACGTCGGCGCCAGTCAGGTAACATCGCCAAACTTTGAACGCGTGCACGATCGCTAGCATCTCGCGGTCGTGTATCGGATAGTTACCTTCGGGCGGGTGTAGTTTGCGGGACTCGTACGCGATTGGCTGGAGGCCGTTCCCGAAGTCCTGCAACAGTACTGCTCCCACAGCGATGTCACTTGCGTCGGTGACGAGCTCGAACGGACGGTGGGGATCTGCAATGTGAAGGACGGGCGGGGAGCACAAAATATTTTTGAGGGCCGAGAAGGCAGCTTGCTCTTTCTCCCCCCACGTGTACTCAACCCCCTTCCTCAGCAGGTCGGTCAACGGGGCAGTCAGCTTCGCCATGTCGGGGACGAACCGACGCACGTAGTTGACGAACCCCAGAAAACTCTGCAACTCGGTCAGGTTGGTCGGCGCGTGCCACGCCTGAATCGTCGCAATTTTCTTCGGGTCGATTTCCACTCCCGCAGCTGAAATAACATGTCCCAAAAACTCCAGGCGGTCCTGTAAAAACTCACACTTAGATGCTTTGGTCAGTAGGCGGTTCTCACTTAGGATTTTAAAAACTGCTTCGATGTCGTGTAAGTGCTGTGCTCTGTCAGGGCTGTAAATCAGTATGTCGTCCAGATAAACGATGACGCACTTATCTAAAAGTGGGCGGAATGCTTCGTTCATGGTCATTTGGAAAGTGGCGGGGGCGTTGGTCAGTCCGAATGGCATGACGGTGTATTCAAAGGATCCGTAGCGTGTTCGGAATGCGGTTTTAGGGCAGTCGGGTGGGTTGACGCGGATTTGGTGGTAGCCTCCTCGGAGGTCGATTTTCGAGAAAACCCGGGCTGTGCGCAGTTGGTCGATCAGTTCGTCGGCTTGTGGGATGGGGTAACGGGATTTGATGGTAACCCTGTTCAGTGCCCTGTAGTCGATACACATGCGAAACCCCCCGTCCTTTTTCGGTGTGAATAGTATGGGTGCGGCGAAGGGCGACGAACTAGGGCGAATGAATTCCTTTTCGAGCAGGTAATCGAGCTGCTTCCTCAGTTCGTCTAGTTCGGGTTGGGTCAGTCGGAACTGTCGCTGTACTGTTGGCTGTGCCCCCGGTTCCAGTTCTATCCTGTGATCGTGCGGTCGCTGAGGTGGCAGTCCCGTCGGCAGGTCGTCCGGGAAAATGTCACTGTACTGTTTTAACAGCGCTGCCAGATCACTCGGTACGTCGGTCAGCAATTTCTGTAAATCCCCTCCCTTGTCTGCTGCCTCGGCTTCCCGAATGTCAACCGCGTACACGTCAGCTCCGGCCGCTACAGCGCGTTTCATCGTGATCGCATTGACACGCACCGACGAAGACCCAGGCGAGCCCCAGCGAGGTAAGGCGATGTTGTTACCGTTTACTCGCACGGTGCAGTCACCCGTCGTCTTGTCAATTCGCGGATTGTGTCGTCGCAGCCAATCACGCCCGAGTAAAATGTCGGTTCCGTCGAGGGTCGTTGCGAGCATTTCCTGACTAAACGTGAAGTTACCCCCGCATCGAATCCGAACTCGGTCTACGCGTCCCCGTATTGCCAGCGGCGTGCCGTCTACCAGTCGTGCGTCGATCTCAGGTAAGCATCGGTCCAGTGGCAGTCGCAGTTTTCGTGCTGTAGCAGTGTTAATGAGGCTGTGGCTGGCTTCCCCGTCTACGAAGATTTTAACTAAGTCCGTCCCAATTTTCCCACTGAGCAGTATAGGGCTATCTACCGTGGTACCCTCCTTATTCGGCCGGGTGTGGTCGATTGCGTGAACCGGCACAATCACTCGGTGAGGGTCGGTTGGGTCGGGCGAGCGGCGTGACCTGTCAGTAGAGGGCCCGTCTGCTACTGACTTCCAGCGTTTCCCTGCTGCTTGGTCTGTGTCTGCTGCTCAGCTTCCCCCTTTCCCTTAGCGTTTTCCGGGCATTCGCTCTTGCGATGTCCCGGCCGATTGCACGCAAAGCAGCGCCCTTTGAACGGTGCGGCAGCGGCATTTGCGGCGACGGCGCGTATCGTGGTGCTCTCGTTCGTCCCACGAGGCCGATGTCCCCAGGTGTTGTTTCTGTAGGACCCCGGTCTCGGTCGGCGAAAGAAGTCGAGCTTCTCTGCCATAGCGAGGATTTCCTGAAACTCAGTGACGCCGCGAAGCTGGATTTCCTGAGCGATGTCCTGTTTCAGGCCGCCGATGTAGCGGTCGATGCGTTCGCTCTCATGCATGTAGCCCACCTGCTCGCATAGCGCCAGAAATCCGCTCGTGTAATCCTGGACGGAACCGAGTTGGCGCCAAGTGCGGAGCTTCTGTCGCGCCGAGATCGAGGCCGCGATTGGCTCAAATCGAGCGCGCAGACCTGCGCACCACGCGTCCCACGTGCGATACTGGGGCACCTCCACGAAATACGACGGCGCCCAGGGTCCGGTTTGTCCTTCCCGTGTCGGTAGTGTCGCGTAGTCGGTCGGCTTCGTGACGATGACGCGCCACCAGTCCATGGCGGGTCCTCGCAGCAACGACACGGCGTATCGAATCTTCGCCGAGTCCTCCGAGACGTAGTTGGCGTCGAAGAAGACATTCATTGTGAACAACCACGCCTGAACGGTAGGACCACCCCGTTGACTCGGGTCAAAGCATGGCGGGCGCTGCGGCTTCAGCGGCATCGGTGACGGCAGTCCCGAATCGTGGGTTGGTGCCGAAATCGTGACGCGAGGCTGACTTGGGGCCGCATGCGTCGCTCTGGGGTGTGTCGTGCCGTGGTCGTCGTCTCCGTCGGGGCGGACGACGCCATCACTGGCCGCGCTCGCGGGTTGCCCCACACTCCCGTGTTGTGATGTTGAGGGTGCAGGTTGAATCGGAGTGCCAGGTGCTTGAGATTGTGCTTGTTGTGCCCTCATGAGGTCATTTTGCAGCGATGAGCGTTCTGCCGTTAATGCCGCGATTTCCTCGGAGCTTTCGTGCAGCTGTCCCAACAGATCGTTCAAACGCTCCTGCGTGAGGGTGGTGACGTCGATATTTTCAGCCATGACGAAGGGCGTCGGCTCGTCTTAGTCTAGGCGCAGTCGTGGCTGCACGCGTTTACGAGAGAACGCGAGGACAGCGGCTCCTAGGGGCTAAGGTGCGTGAGTCCCTTCGAGTGAAAAATCAAAAGTTGATTTCCTGGTGTGCGGAGATGCGCGGTCCGAAAGAAAGGGGCTCTGATACCAAGTCTTACGGGTGCAATGAATCGAAGTAGCGAGAATTGCACTAAGGTGTCAAACGAGTACAAAATGTGAGCGAAGGCATGAGCGAACATTTATACGCGAAACATGCAAAACGGTAACGCGGTGCGTGCGAGCTTGCTAGTGCTACGCTGGAGCGAGGCTCGGGCTAGTCCCGAAGCGTAGGCCGATACGGCCATGCCAGCAGTGCGAGGTTTGGCAAAACGGTACGCGCGAAGTCGGCGAAGTTCCGTTAGCAGTAACGGGCGAACAATCGGCTGTTGCTGTACGCGATGTAGTCGGCCCCGTAAGGAATGCCGAGAAAATTCCTTACACTGAGTAAAGAATTCAGAAAAAAGGATCCGTACTGGCTGCTGTGGACTTGATGTGCTGCGAACCTCCATTCATCTCACCATGAACTCCTACCGTAAGTTCTCGATACATTGGCATGCACGGAACATTGCTTAGAACAGTTTTAACCACTATTAGTCACAAAATAACATCCCTGTAGTGATAACTGTGCTGGTCATATGCATAACCCATAAGCCATACCTTTTCCCCGTCCCCTCCGGCTTTCCCCCTTCCCCTTTCCCTCTACCAGATCCCCAGAAACTTCCACCACAGGCCACCCACGCCAAGCCAAATCACCAGATTGACAATGCTGCAGATAAACCCGTAGAACCACCAATCATTGAGCGACACATACCCCGACCCGTAAAACGGCGGGCCGGACCCAATCCCATAGTGCGTGATCCCACCCATGAGGTTCGACATGAACGAGAGGACCATGGCGGCGAGCAGAGGAGGCGTGCCGAGAGCAGAGGCGACGGAGATGAAGGCAACGAACATGGCTCCGATGTGTGCGGCACCGGAAGCGAAGAAGTAGTGGGAGTAGAAGTAGAGGATGACGAGGAGACCGAAGGCTGGCTGCCATGCCAGCCCCATGGAGGAGACGAGCTGGAAGGTGGGGTTGGTTGGGGACAAGGGGTGGGGCAAAGGAAAGGGGTAAGGAGACAAAAAAGTAGTCTGAGTAGAAGTAGAGGATGACGAGCAGGCCAAAGGCTGGCTGCCAGGCGAGACCCATGGAGGAGACGAGCTGAAGAGTGGGGGTGTGTGTTGGGGGGGGGGGGTGTGGGAGGAAGGGAGAGGGGGAGGGTAATGATGATGAGTGGAGGGACTATGGCAACCATCCGAGCAGGGATGTTCATGCTAACTTGGTGAGCAGAGCTAGGAGGTTGGGAAGCGATCAAAAGAGTGTGCCTTGCTTCCCTCCCTCCCTCCCACCTGGTCTTACAAGCTCCTTTTGTCTCTCATTGTAGCCACTCACATTGACAACGGTCTGGCTGAACCAAGCAATGAGCCCGTATTTGTTGAGATAGTTGGCCATGGCGATGAGAGCAGCGAACCACGTGAGTGTGTCCCACGCCACGCCCTCGCCCAGGCACTCCTTCCACGTCACCACGCCCGTGATCAGCAGCGCGCTGAGCCCCATGATGGCTGCCGTTACCGCGTCAACGCCCAACACGCCGCCGCACACCCACAGTCCCACCTGCGGATGGGGAAAAAAAGGAGGGAGAAAGGGTCAAGGGTTGGGAAGGAGAACCAGAGAGGTGGTCGTTCAGAAATCCTAGAAAACTTGCACACAGAGGAGACGGATCCTCAGTGAACAAGCAGGATCTGATTCTCGCCCTGACTATCTCTAATTAGTGCCTAATGGTCTCCTCGGCTACATGCTGTGCCACGCAGCCTCTACCACAGCCTTGATGCATTTCACCTGACTACACGGCACTGCACCACTATGAACACATACGCACCGTGCCAACGAACAAGCCCGCCATGATCTTCTCATTCGTGCTCATCGGCCCCATGGCCGGGAGCTTTTGGTTTGGCCGGCTGCATGCTACGCAGCCTGATACAGTTCACCCGATTACATCGCACTATACCACACAACACTCCTACGTACCGTGCCAACCAGCACGCCCGCCATGATCTTCTCATTAGTGCTCATCGGCCCCATGGCCGCGAGCTTCTCGCGCGCGAGCTTAGGCGCGTCGGGGCTGGCCTTAATCTCCGGCGGGTAGATGACGTAGAGCAGCGCGGGAACGACGGCGAGCGAGATGAGTCCGGGCACCAGCGCCGCCTTGGCCCACTCCGTCCAGCCGATCGTGTGGCCGATGGCGCCCGCTGCGAGATTCACGGCGAGCGGGTTCGCCGCCATGCCGGTGAGGAACATGGCGGACGACACGATGGACGTCTGGGGGAGGGGAAGAGGGAGAGGGGGGGGCGGGGGGGGTAAGGGGAAAGGTGAGCAGATGCTATGAATGGAGCACCGTAAACGAGCGGGTTCGCCGTTATGCCCGTCAGGAACAGGAGACTATGGACGCCGGGAGGAGGCGCGGGGGAAGTTGGGTGGGGGAACGGGGGAAGAGGAAGGGCGGTTGCGGGAGGGGGAAGGATGAAGGGGAAGGGAAGTGGGGGATGGGAGGTGAAAAGGGGAGGAGAGGCCTGGGAATGCTGGGTCTCTCCGCCCCATTTCACCTCCCATCGTGTTGGTTAGAATGTACGAGTATGAACATTGTACGTGGGGGAAAGGTGAAAGGGGGAGGAATGCTGGGAAGAAAGGATTCTTACACGTACATTTTAAACAGCACGGATGGAGGAAGCTACCTGGAAGCAGGTGAGCACGTGCCACGCGCCGAGCTTCTTTTCGGTGCCATCGTCCGTGCGGCTTCCGCACGCCCATTGAGACGGTTCAATCAAACAAGGCATCTGGTGAACCCACCTGGAAGCACGTCAACACGAGCCATGCTCCGAGCTTCTTTTCGGTGCCGTCGTCCGTGCGGCTTCCGCACGCCTGGCATAGCGCCTTGAGCAGCGGAAGGAAGATCCCGCCCGCGCGCGCGGAGACCGAGGGGATGGCGGGCGCGAGCATGGCCTCCGAGAGCACGAGGCTGTAACCCAGGCCGAGCGACGTGCTGCCGAAAGCGGCGACGAACTGGTAACCAACGCGGTTGCCGAGACCCGTGTTGATGAAGCCCTTGGCGAAAAAAAATGCGAGCGCGATGAGCCACGGGATGGGATCGCCGAAGGAGCTGCGGAAGTGGGGGGGGGTGGGGTGGGGGGAGGGGGGTGTGAGAGGGGGGAAGGTTGGGGGGAAAGAAGAATGCGAGCGCGATGGGCAACGGGATGGGATCGCCGAAAGAGCTGCGGAATGTCGGGGTGGGAGAGGGGGGGGGGGAGGGGAAGAGGAAGGGGGAAGTAGAATGGGGAAGTGTGATGAATCAAACGATTGGATCGCCGAAGGAGTGGGGGAAGGGACGGGGGGAGTGGGTGGAAAAGAGGAAGGGTGGAACGAAGCGGGAGGTGGGGGAGGGGGGCGGGGAAAGGGAGGTTAAGGGGTACATTTTCGTAAATAAGTACGCGCAAGCGACGAGTGCTATAAGCCAACAATGATACAGGGCTACACGGTTAAAAAGCCGCTCTAATACAATGTCTACGAATGTTGCAGTGTTACACAATGTTACCTGAAAGCAGCAGCAAAGGTGAGCGTCTTCGTGAGCACGCTCACGCCCAGACCCATGAGCGCAACCGCTCCCAGAGGCAACGGCTGGGCGGAACAGAGGGGGGAGAGGGGGGAGGAGGGGGAAAGGGGGAAGGGCGAGGGAAGAGGAGAGAAAAGTGAAGACATTGCATAATGTGTGCACATAGTATGTATTACAGCGTTGAATGTTTTGAAGTAGGTCTGCCAGGCGTTTCGTACAAGCTTGGATGGACGGCTGCCCCTTTTCATCACAGCGAAAGCGCACAATATTGCGGCAGAAGCGGACGTTCCTGCTATAGAAGGCACATTGCGGCGCGAGCGCGCATCGCGGCGAGAGTGCACATTGCGGCGAGAGAGCGCATCACGGCGAGAGCGCACATTGCGGCGAGAGAGCGCATCGCGGCGAGAGCGCACATTGCGGCGAGAGAGCGCATCGCGGCGAGAGCGCACATTGCGGCAAGAGAGCACGATGCAGCGTGTGGGCATACCTGAGTGATGATGCCGATGATCGTGGCGAGGAAGATCGCCAGAAGCTGCCACGCGTTAGCCGCGACGCCTTCGGGTCGCGGGCAGTACCACATCGCGACGCCCGTCGCCACCGATATTCCCAGCGTCTTCATGTTCGCGCCCTTCCATGGAGCCGCCACTGGCGCCGCCTTCACCGGCACTGGCGCCGGCGCCGGCACACCTTCCCCGCCGTCGCCCGCCGCTGCGGAGATGACGGCGCGGCGCTTCTGGCGGCGGTTGCGGATCGCGGAGGAAGGAGAGGTTGCGATCGGCGAGGCTGCGACGATCGCGGCGTGCGACTGGAGGTACGCGCTGGCCGCGACGGGCCGGCCATAGATCGACGATTTTAGATGCGACGGCTGCGACGAGGAGGACTTCGCCAGTCGCGTGCGCGACGCGCTGGCGACAGCCGCATGGCAATGCGGCTGGATCACCGCCGTCGCCATGCTGCAACAGAGGAGACTTTACAAGCACAAGTGGCGTCCAAGGCGCAGACTTTCTAACGTATGCGCGACCCTAACAAGGTTTCTGGCAGTACAAACCTTTAAGGACCAATTTTGCCGCAAAAATGCCTATTTTCTGCAGATTTCTGATGTCTCGTGCTGATCCCGCCTTGAATGCTCGTGAGGGCGAAATGTGATGTGTGTGAGTCAGGTCGGGGCGGAGCGGAGACTCCCCTCCCCGCTGAAGCCCAAGCTCTCTGCCCTTCTGCTCCGCTGTGGTGGCGGGGCGCAGGTAGGCGCAACTTGGGAGAGCGAGCAGGCGGACCTAGGGAGACCAGACCAGACCAGACCTTCGGCGGGTTGTCAGGGGGAAATCTGTATTGATGTGGTCACGGTGGCGCTGACCTTGTTCCGCCTGCCTCCCCCGAGAAGCTGCGCACGCGACCGCGCATTCGTCACTGTACACCTGATGCCCGTTTGAGCCCCCCCTACTTAGGTTGTGCTTTGGACTTAAAAACGTTCTGGACATTTCGCCCAGTTCTTTCCGTTTCGCCGGGGTTTTGAGCTGCTTCTAAAAAACACAGGTTGTGACTCATTTGTTTTTTCCAAAACAGTTCTGGTGGGCCTGTGTTGTTGTTAGTTCCGGGTTTAGGGTTTATGCTTATTTCTGGCCAAGAAACAAGAACAAACCGGGTCAGCATGGTTTGTTTTGCGCCTAAGATTCATACTTTGGCGTATTCTCGCCCAAATGCAACTTGATCTGCGTGCCTATAACCTGGGTGCAACTGACTAGAAAAAAAATACGGGTGCAGAGTTTCTGAAATGGAAAAGGCAAATTCGCGCGCAGTGGCTGGGCATCATGTGTAGTGGCGCAGGAGTTTATTCGCGTGATGTGTGTTTGGTGTTGATGGGTGCGCCGCCGTGGTTCCCGCCCTCTACGTGGCGGTCGATATGAGCTGTGAGTGGTCGTAAATTGCGCGGATCTTGGAGTTTGAGCTGGCGGAGACCTACGTGGCAGTTTTCCAAAGGGGAGTTCGAATTGGCTGCTTCACTGAAGCAAACCTGATGACTCGCTTTTGCTTTCTCCCCTCTTTGTCATTCAATGCAGAAGTCAGAACAGAGAGGGCGATGAAATGCAACTCTTACATGAATAAAAAAACACATTACTGCGTCAGTATTTTACAAGGATGAAAGCTTGGTTCCACTAATTTACTATTTCTCCTGTAACCTATAGAACACCTAAGTCAACACTATATGCAATTAATTGTGATGATGCTTCCGCAGCGCAGCAATCACACCGTGGCCTTTCACCGCCACGGGAAAACACGCACCGCGTGGTGCTCGACAAGCCACTCTCATCATGCACCCCCGGAATTGCGGGCTCAGCTGCAGTCCCTCCTCACAGTCACTCTCTACCTCCAAGCAGTCCTCCCCACATGCGTAATCTTCATCACCCTCCACCAAACTCGCCACGTTAGCAATGTCCAAAGATTTTCTCGCGGCGGCCTTCTCTTTGTCCGAGCCCCGCAGGCTCTCCCATTCCAAGCTCCGCCTCCCCGAACTCAGTCCGCTCCTGGTGCTGCCCCCCGAGCTGCTAGTTCCGCTGCTTTGCGCCAGGCTGCTGCTTCCGCTGCTAGACCGCCGGCTGCGCCGCCACCTGCCCAGCCGGAGGGGGGACTCCGACCGCGAGGACGCGCGGGACGAGCTCGCGGAATTGTTTCCGGAATTTCCCGCGCTGCTAGTGGCGCAGACACTGGCGGCTCTGCTTCCCGCAGGCGCAGCAGCAGAGTCCGCGGCTCCGCTGGCGCAGGCGGTGGTTGCCGCGGAGGCGGATGACCTGTCCGCACCGGAGCTATTCTCCGCTGCGCCGTTGACTTCGCGCTGACAGCGTAGCACCGCGACTCGGCGGTGCGTTTCCAGGATTTGCAGCTCTACCTCGAGTAGCTTCAATCGCGCGGAAATCTCGGACGCCGTTATTCCCGCGTCGGGGGATTGCTCATCGCCTTCCCTGTCCTGATCCCACTCCTCTTCCCCCTCATCATCCTCATTTCCTCGAAATTGCGAGGCAACGTTCCGATCAGGTACGGACGGGCAGCTGGCCTGCCCTTTGAGAAACCTCGAGCTTCCGTGAATTGCGCCCGTGCACGGCTGGGGACCGCTGTGGGAGTTGGGCGGACAGTCCGCTCCCGCGCGGAGGCCCAACAGCAGCACTTGCGGGTCCTGGTACCCGCCGTTACAATAAGGAGGCGCACTGTAACGGGTCCCCCCAGTGCTCGTACGCGAAATGTCGATGTCCCAGATTTCGTCGTCGTAATCGTCGTCGTCGTCGTCGCAGACGGCGTCGCCCGCCGGGATCCACTCGATAGGTCTCGGCGGCTCGGCGCCGATCTCTTCGCTTTCGGGGTCGGGGATCTGGACCGTTAGGCTGCGGCGCGGCATAGAGGGAATTTCCTCGAAAGCATGGTCGGACATTGGCGAAAGGTTCGGCTGAGGAGGGCTGTGGGGGCTCCGGAGAGGAGCTGCTCGGGGAACGGCTACCATTGCGGCCATTGACGGGTAAAATCGCTCTGCTAAGGTGCGACGGTAAAGTTGCGGCAAGCTCAGAAATAGAAATCAGATTGAAAGCGGCCGATCGCCGATATGGTTTTATGGAAAGTTGAGACGACCGGGAATTGGAGGATATGTGATAGCTCGTGGGTGGACAACGAGAGGCAAGTAATGTGAGCTGGGGCATCGAGGCTGCACACGTTTGGCGGCGTGTTGTGTTGTATTCACGATGTTTTGTCCTGGCTGAGTAAGTAGAGAGAAATGGTGCGACAACGTGCTTTGAGTTGAGTAAACCGTCCACGTAATGGACTGGAAGGATAGGCAGGTGACAGTCTTCAATTAGGGCATGGACGCGATTGCCATAACGTGGTGAAAGCAGCTCAAATCTCCACAATACAGTGAGCACAAGACCTGTGCAGCGTCTGTATCACCCGCCTGTCAACCACCGCACATGCTTCGAGGAATGGGTTTGGTGGACAGAAGGCGAGGGCAGGGCTGTGATGTGAGCACGCGCTTCGAATGGAAAATGAAGCCAAAGTCAGACAACGGGAAGAAATTGGACAGGCAGACACGATTGTACAGCTGCATCCGGGCTTTCCCCTGATCTAGGTCTCCTCCATCCACAGCATATGCGCAAACAAGATTGTGCGCCAGCAGCTGCACAGCATGTCCGCGAGCATATGCTTGTTCCGCGTGCCGCAAAGCAAACCGCCTGCGGCGAACTCGAATGGTTGATTGGAGCCTTCGGCGCGTCATAAATACTGTAAGCGCAGTTGACATAGGAACATGATTTTGGCTACAGTGCAACCGCACAGCGAACAATGCGAAACGCAAAAATGTACGAGCACAGTGATTCTCATCGGTGGTATTTCCACTAAATTTCTACTAGAAGCGGAAATCTTGGTACTTCAGCCTCTAAACGTTGTAACTGATGTGAGATTCTTTCAGTCGGCCCTGCCAGAATCTAGACACACATTGACACACTCTTAACACTCAAAACACCATATGTTAAAGGGTTCCACGCCGTAGAAAACAAATGCGGCGACTGCATGATTAGTAACGACCACCCACTAGCTCAAATGGAGTTGTTGCTCGAGATGTCCTGTCCTGAATCTCAAGACTTCAAGAATCTAGAAGGATGCAGCATGCGCGCCAAAGCAGGCCAGCGGCCATCAGCAAGCAACAGTGAATCTGAGACAAACCAGGTGGCCAAGGGGGTCAGAATTTAAAACGGGCAACGGGAAGAAGGTGGGCGAGAAACACCTTCACGTAGCCCAATCTACACTTGTTCAAAGATGTCTACAAGATCGAGGTTCTGCCAATCAGTTTCCATGGTTCCAAGGGCAGCTGTGAGAGCATCAAGCCTCACCGAAGGTTGAAGGTTGGCTGGTGGTAAGGACTGGCATGGCAACTTTCCACGTTGGAAAGGATCCACTGGGAAGGTGAGGCGGTTAGGTGGCACACGGAGGACCTCGTGCTCTCATGTGATCAAATTTTTGTTTGATGCGATTGCCCTTGTCAATTGGGTTCACCGTTTTCAGACTGGACTACACTTGGCTCTTCTAGTGTCTTCAAATCCGGCAGCCAAACCATATTTTTGTTGAAGTATGCATAGTGTGATGTCAATGTGTTATATGAATACTAAGACATCAAAACCTTGGTTTGGAGTCCAAAAGCAGGAAAAATGCTGCTGGATGGACTTGTTAATTGCTCGATGGTACCTTATTTTTTCAGCAACAAACTCACAGCTACATAACTGCAACATCTCAACTGGCTCTATGGAGCAACGAGCTCCGCACAATGCATATGCTATACCTAGCTGATGTAAGACCAGTGGGGCACTTCTCGAGGGGTGGAGGGGGGCCACTGAGGGCAGCAGCATGGCTCGACCTTGCAAAGGTTGAATGTATAAATTAGATCTAGCTTGTGTGGACCTGGTACTGTGCTTTTGAAGGGATGGAGGAGCATACTGAATAATGCACGGCTCCAACAGTTGGCTGAGCAGCATGCAGCCTGCAAACAAAACATTGCATGGATGAATTAGTTTAGAATGTAGTCCATGTGTGTGTATTCTTGAGGGTCTGAAAGCTGGAACTAAGGGACTTGACCCCGAAAAGGCTTTGGCAGGGAACACATGTACACATAGGAAAGCAGGCGCTGAACACGTAAAGCACGACAGGAAAGGGTGCAACGGGACAGAGATGCGATCCCAATTAGGGTGAGTATTCCAGAATACAGCACGAGAGGTTTGCAACGAGACACACAGATTCACCTGTGTGAGGGCTAAATACGAGAGGCAGGGCACACACTTGTGCAAGGCCGATGCATTAGGAGAGAGGGGGCACATGAGAGAGCTGGGCTGCTGTAGATTTTGAGTTGATTCAAGGCGTATCTTGGTCGACCCTAAACACACGTTGCACACACAGACCAGTACAAAGGCTACGTACGAGGAGATGCGGCGAATGAGAGAGCTGGGCTGAGACTTGGTCATCGTGAGCGCCCGCGTAAGCAGCACAGCTGGATCCTCTGCGACACAACAAGGCAGGAAAGAGGACAGTCAAACAGGGAGGGGAGGGAGAACAACTTCTGATACAACAGCGAGATCCCTTGTGTGTGATACACGGCAGGAAAAGCAGCGGTGGGGAGAAGAACGAGGACCAGGACAGGTCTGGAGAGACCTTAGAAGGCGCATACGTGAGTGGGTTGGGAAAAAGACAGTGGGGTGCTCTGTGATACCAGGCAGGAAACGGTGGGTTGGGGTTAAATCTTGAGGCGTCTCAAGAGGCGCTCGAGCGAGCAAGAGGGAGGGATCCTCTGTATATTGGAATGAAAAGGCTAGCATCTGTAGGACAAGGCAGGAAAGGGGGGGAAGAATCATTGCGCGCCACCTTTGATTGGTCGGCCAGGCTGGCGCTGGAACTGCTTGGGCGGCGGAATGCAGATGGCGGCATCAATGTTGTCTGGCAGCCCTCTGTGCCGCCCGAGCAGCATCACGAGGATGACTATTAGCTTAGAGAGTACTGACCACGTGCCTGCAGGGTTGGGTTGAGGAAAGGCAGAGGAGGAGCAGGGTCACTGTCATTTTAAACAGCCCCTAGCACGTGTTGGCAGGGCTGATGAGAATAGAGCAGGAGGGAGAAGAGAGGAGCCATTATGAATCTCGAGAGCGCCTAGCACATACTTGCAGCATTGAGCGGAGGGGAAACGCGGAGCGGGAGCATGGTCAAGACAAGCACACGCACCCTTTAACATTGCCCCTTATCAGCATCACCTGCAGCAGCACCATCAGCAACAGCAACAGCGTAGCAGCATCCCCAGCAGCAGCATGAGAAGATGTCAGGCAGTGCGCCTTCCTGAGAAGCTAGGGCGGAGCATGTACCCCAAGGTTCATCAGGTAGAAAATTCACCTGAAAGCTGTCAGGTGGAAAATCTACCTGAGAAGCTGTAGGGTGGAGCATCTGTGCAGTTGGGGTTGCTTGCGGGGCAGTTGTTTCCCAGAGGCAGTCCCACGTTGCCGTAGGCACTGCTGGGTGCTGGTCTACGTCGACGACCTACTTGCTGCCAGCAGCAGCGCCGCGATGCTGAAGGAGCTGAAGGAGCTGCTGGAAGCCGCCTTCGAGCTGCGCGAGATCTCGCCGGTGCAGAAGTACCTCGGGCTGGAGATCATGCGCGACAGGTCGGCGGGGAAGCTGTGGCTGCACCAGCAGGGCTACACCGACAAGCTGCGTAGGCGCTTCATCGACGAGGAGCAGACCGGGCGCACCCCGAAGACGCCGGTCTCGATCGACGCCTACGCCGAGCTCACCTTCGACGACGAGGAGGCGCAGGAACGCCAGGAAGAGCAGTACCGGCAGAAGGTCGGCTCGTTGCACTTCGCGGCGACCCGCTACGTGTGGGTGAAGCCGGTCACCAAGAAGTCAGATGCGTTGCCGGTGTTCGTGCAGTGGCTGGCGGTGGCTGAGCGGCAGACGAAGAAGTCGGTGTTGATGCTGCGCTCTGACCGGGGAGGGGAGTTCCTCGGGAAGCAGTTCACCGACTTCGTGAACGGCAAGGGGATCGTCCACGACCTGACCCGCCCATACACCCCGCAGCAGAACGGCATGGCGGAGCGGGAGATGAGGACGGTGGTGGAGTCGGTGCGGACAATGCTACTGTACATGGGCGTGCGGCACCACTGGTGGCACCTCGCTCTCCGGCAGGCCGTCTGGGTCCGCAACTGCCTTGAGAGATCGGCGCTGCCGCCGGGGACGACGCCATACCAGCTGCTGACCGGGAAGAAGCCCGACTTGTCGCTGGCGTGGGTGTGGGGCTGCATGGCGCAGTTCTTAGTCCCCGAGCAGCAGCGTGGTGGGAAGCTGCAGCCGAAGGCCAGGTGGGGCCTGCACCTTGGCGTGTCGGCGGCGAGCAAGGGCTGGGAGCTCCTCGACGTCGACACCGACCGGGTGGTCAACACGTCGGACGTGGTGTTCTACGAGGAGATGTCGCTGGCCGAGTGGAAGACGGAGTACGGGTCGGTGTCCGGCCGCTCGTCGCCCACCCCGCCCTCTGACACCTCGTCGGCGACGCTGCCACTGCTTGCCGAGGTCGGTGAGCTTGCTATTGAAGACGTCGAGGACGTCCGCCCCCCTACCCCTCCCCCTCCGACCCCTGCCCCTCCCCTCGTGGCCGACCTGCGTGGGCTGACCTCGGTGTCGGCCTCCGGCGATGAGGGGAGTAGTGGGACGTCGCCTTCGGCCAAGTGCATCGCCGGCGGCCGACGTGACGAGCGGCAGGTCGACGTAAGATTGCAGTCGACGTCGACAGGGGAGGAGCACGTCGAGAAGCAGGTCGAGGACCAGCGGCCGACAAAGGAGCAGGCAGCAGTGACGCCGACCAAGGAGCAGTCGGCGACTGGGCAGTCGGCAGGGGAGCCGACCATAGGGGAGAAGTCGGCTGGGACGCTGACCACACGGGAGAAGTCGGCTGGGACGCCGGCTGAGGAGCAGCAGGACGCCGAGGGCAGCGACAACAGCGACGATGGAGGGGACGCCGAGGAGGTCCAGCCAGGACCACGGCGTTCAGGCCGACTTCGGAGGCCGCCTGACTTCTTCGTCCCCGCTGCCTTCACCACGGTGTACGACGTGGACGATGAGGCCGACTCCTGCTGTACGACGATGCCGAGGAGGATGAGGAGTTTCCAGAGCTCGACCCCGACATGCTAGCCGACCCCGAGCACCGTTGGGACATCTCGACGATGATGGTGAAGGAGGCGTTGGCGAGCTGGAAGGGCCCGGCGGTGAAGGCCGCCATGGAGGAGGAGATTCGCAGCCTCCTCAACATGGGAACGTGGGAGCTGGTCGAACGCCCGCCGGGAGTGAACGTCATGAAAAACCGGTGGGTGTTGACGACGAAGTACCACGTCGACGACACCGTCGAGCGCGAGAAGGCGAGGCTGGTCGTGAAGGGCTTGACACAGGTGTACGGCGCCGACTAAGGCGAGACGTTCGCGCCGGTGGGCAGCTACGTCACGCTGAGGATCTTCCTCAGCATCGTCGCCGTCCTCGACCTTAACCTGATGCAGCTCGACATGAAGAACGCCTTCCTGCAAAGTAAGCTCGATCGAGTATTGTACATGTCCCAGCCGGACTACTTCAACGACGGATCCAGCCGGGTGTGCAAGCTGCTGAAGAGCCTCTACGGGCTGAAGCAGTCGCCGCTGTTGTGGTACTTGGCGCTCAACGATGTGCTGGTCGGCGCCGGGTGGAAGAAGAGCCAGGTCGACGAGGCTCTCTACTTCAAGGTCGGAAAGGACGGAGTGGCCTGCTGGGTGCTGGTCTACGTCGACGACCTACTTCCCGCCAGCAGTAGCGCCGCGATGCTGAAGGAGCTGAAGGAGCTGCTGGAAGCCGCATTCGAGCTGCGCGAGATCTCGCCGGTGCAGAAGTACCTCGGGCTGGAGATCATGCGCGACAGGTCGACGGGGAAACTGTGGCTGCACCAGCAGGGTTACACCGACAGGCTGCGTAGGCGCTTCATCGACGAGGAGCAGACCGGGCGCACCCCGAAGACGCCGGTCTCGGTTGACGCCTACGCCGAGCTCACCTTCGACGACGAGGAGGCGCAGGAACGCCAGGAAGAGGAGTACCGGCAGAAGGTCGGCTCGTTGCAGTTCGCGGCGACAACGACGAGGCCGGACATCGCCTTTGCCTGCAGCAAGCTGGGGAGCAGCCTCACGGTGAGGAGCAACCAGCACTGGCGCGAGGTCGACCGCTGCCTCGCCTACCTCACCAACACACGCGACACCGCCCTGGGGTTCGGCGGTGGACCTGAGTCGCTGGAGCTGGTCGGCTACGTGGACGCCGATGATGCCGGTGACAAGCAGAACAGGACGAGCACGGGTGGGTACGTCTTCGTCTACGGTGGGGCCGCGGTCTCCTGGTCGAGCCAGCGCATCAAGTGCGCGACGGTGTCGTCGACCGAGTCGGAGTACGTTGCGGCCACTGAAGCTGGCAAGGAGGGACGCCGCCTTCGCTTCCTTCTTGCGGAATTCCGGCAGCTGGACGCCGGGAAGCCGACTGTCCTACGAGTGGACAACAAGTCGGCTATCACAGTCGCCGAGGGCATGGGGTTGACGGGCAACCTCAAGCACATGGAGCGACGACAGGCCTGGCTGCAGCACATGATGAAGCGCGGGAAGTTCTCGCTGCAGTACATCCCGACCGCTGAGTAGCCAGCCGACTTCCTGACAAAGGCGCCGCACTATCCGGCCTTCAACCGGTGCTCCGTCGCAATCGGCCAGGTGCGCTTGGCCGACGTGGGCGACGGCGATAACGACGTGCAGCAGTAGGTGCCATGCCCTCTTGCATGGCTGGTGCGGTGACCGGCGTGCTGTGTGTTGGGTGCACGCCGACGGGCTATTCTCGGAGCTGTACTGCCGTGTGGGCTGGGTGCCCAACCGTGAACGCGGCAGGGGAGTGTCAACGGGAGTTGTGTCATGGCCCCGTCCTCGCTTGGGCGGAGCCGACATCGTGGTCGGGTGTTCGGGGAGCAGCCGACCTGCAGCAGTGGGCGAGCTGGTTGACGAGGAGGTCGACCTGCACGGGGACCACTGCACGGGCGCCGACTTCAGGGTGGCGCCAACTTCGGGGAGGTCGACTTAGGAGTCGACCTGCGGAGGACGTCAACTTGGTGACGTCAACTTGGGGAAGCCGACTTCGGTGGTCGGCTGATGGACTGCTGGTCGACCTGCGGTTGGTCGACTGGACCTGGTGGTCGACGAAGGAGGGGCCGACGTCGACCTCGACTCAGGATGCCGAGCAGTTGGGCGTCGAGTAGCGGGACGTCAACTTCGTGACGCCGACTTCGGGTGGCCGACGTGGGTGGTCGGCCGACAACTGCGCTGGCCGACTTAGTGCTGGTCGACGTGGAGCTGGTCGACCAGAAGGGACGTCGACCTGGAGGAGGTCGACCGAGGGGCGTGGTCGTCCTGGTGAGGTCGACATGGAGGTGGTCGTCGACTTGGGAGGTCGACGGGCACGTACGGGAGCTGCTGGCCGATGTGGTTGCCCGGTCGACCAGGTTACCTGGGTGACGAAGTGCTGCGGAGGAGTGCGACGGTCGCCCGGGCGAAGTTGGCGAGACCGACCTCGGTGGTGGTATCCCGAGGTCGTCGTGGCGGATCAGAGGCAGTCGTCAGCTCGAGGTTGACGTGGTGTGTGCGCTGTGCAGGTGACGAGACTCTGCACGCCAATCATCTGCGCGCACCTGCGAAGCGGGTGCACTGCTGTCCTGCGTGAGCAATGCTGGTACGCCATCAACCTGCGACGTTGGCACGCCGTCGACCTTGCCTTGCTGGAGTGCGGTTGACCAAGTCGTGCTGGAACGTGGTCGACCAAGCTGCGCTGGCAGTTGGCCGACCTGAATGCTAGCTCTGATGTAGTCTTGCATTGCCAACTTCATTGTATCATTGTTGTCATGTTTTCCTAGTGAAACTCCTGCCAATTCTCGCCGTGAACTAGCAAGAAGCGTAAACACAAGGAAATGACTAAGTGAACGAACGCAGAGATCACACGAGCACACGTGCCTAGCCCGTAGTCTAGCTCCCGTTGCAGCAGTTATCTCCGCAGGCATCACGAGGGAGAAAGGAAGGCGAGGATGATATGAGCGGGTGGTGTGGAAGAGGAGGCACGCATCCCCACCCCGGTGCTTTACGATAGCGTGCAGGCTTTGCTTATGGCCGAATGCAGCCTTTGACCTTTGAGGCGTCTCAAAAGGCATGCAGGCTTTGCCTACGGCCGTATGCAGCCTTTGCGAAGAGGGTGTGCAAGGGAAGGGCCGCATTCCCAGGTGCTCTGCGACTGCATGCAGCCTTTACCTGGAATGCAGCCTTTTCCTACTACCACCGTATGCAGCATTTGCCAAGGGGGTGTGCAATAGAAGGCCAGCATTCCCAGGTTCTCTATGCCTACATGCACAAGCTCAGTGGTAAGTAAGCACAAGGCTCTTCACTCATACTCTGATGTACGTTTCTTTGAAAAGCCAAGCTTTTGGAGGAGGGGAGGCGCCTCAAAATTCGTTTTCTGGGCCGCCCGCCTCAAGAGTCAGGCCAAGCCACGTGCCCAGCAAAGGCGTGGGAGTTCCAGTCGAGGAGCATGAGGAAGAAGGCCCGAATGGATGTGAATGCTGAATCATGCTCACCAGCTGGTTTTTGAGAATTCTCAAAAACGAGCAGCAGTACATGGGAGTAGTGTTGAGAGCGCCTCTTTTTGAGTCGACTCAAAAGTGCCTCTCACCTCCGAGCCCGGCAAAGACCTGGGAGTTCCAGTCGAGAAGCATGAGGAAGAAGGCTTGGATGGAGGTGAAGGCGACAATGGTGAGCAGCAGCCAGAAGGTCTATCTGTTTGTGGAGGGGATGGAGAGGAGAGGCATGCCTTGCACTCACCTCCGAGCCCTGCAAAGGCTTGATAGTTCCAGTCGAGGAGCATGATAAAAAAAGGCTTGGATAAATGTGAAGCAGACAATGGTGAGCAGCAACCACAGCTTCTGTTTAGGGAGACGCATACCTTGCACTCACCTCCGAGCCCTTCAAAGGCCTGTGAGTTCCAGTCGAGTAGCATGAGGAAGAAGGCTTGGATGGATGTGAAGGCGACGATTGTGAGCAGCAGCCAGAGCGTCTGCTTGTGTGGGAAGAGCTGCGTGTAGCACTTGCGCGGATGGTCCAACAGGTACTTGGTTATGTGCCTGATGGGGAGGGGGGGTGGGGAGATGTTGTTGAATTACTTTGGGATAGGTTTTGAGGGGTTGGGGGAGGAGGATGTTGTGGAAAAAGGTGAGCTGACTTTTGAGTCGACTCAAAAGTCAACAGGTTTTGTGGGTTTGGGGGAGGAGGATGTTGTGGAAAAATGTGGGATTATTGAAGGGACAGATGAGCATGCCTACCAGCAGAAGCAGGTGGGCGCTACTATCTTTCCTCTTGTAGACTGTGCACTGCACACATACACAACCCACACCACAGCCAATACTCACCATCGGCTGCCGTCTCACTCACTCACCATTGGCTGCTGTCCTTCCTGCTGGTGCAGTGCAGCAGTGCCAGCACACCTCTCAACGAGGGGGCATACATGGTATTGCCGACGAGAATCAGCACGCCCACCACCAGCAGGTACGGGATGTTGCGCTGAAAGGGAATGAGGTTCGCATCCAACAAGGTGATTCCCGAGTTGGAGAATGCAGAAGCGGACTGGAAGGCCGAGTTGAAGACGACGTTGATGCCCTTGCCTGGGGAACACGGGGAGCGGGAAGGGTGCAGAGCGGTGGAGTAGGTTGTGAGGTGGTGTAAAAGGGTGCAGAGTGTGATGTTGGCGAATGCAGAGATGGACTGGAAGGGGGGGAGGTGACGGCGTTGTTGATGCCCTTGCCAGCATGCGGAGCAGAGTGAAAGGGTGTGGAGAACGGTGCAGAGGGGAGTGAGATGGTGCAGAAGGGTGCGTATGATGTGGAATCGAGACGACTTGGTGAACGCAGAGATGAAGATGCCACAGCTGAGTGCAATGCTGAAGTCCCTGTGTGAAAGCAGTGTGTAGAACGGTGCAGAAGGGTGCAGAAGGGCGTAACGGAATGCAGAGGTGGGTGAGATGGGTCGTGCATGGAGGAGACTTGAGAGATGGAACCAAGTGGACTCAAAGCCATGCCGCATCTTGAGTGCAAGATCAAGCCACATTCGGGTATGTTTGTGTCACTTCTGAGAATTCTCAAAGGTGTCACGAACAAGCACAGGTACTTCCTTGTGAGGAGATCGAGGTATTCAGGCCACCACCAGGTGATGAGGATGAAGAGGATGAAGGCACCAAAGACGGTTCCGAAGTAATACGCCGGCACCAGCCAGCTCAGCAGCGCAAGGGCCCTGCGGAGTGGAAAGGGTGGTCCGAGATGGATAATGGTGGAACTGACAGCCTCTGAGGCGCCTCAGAGAAGTACACAGGCACCAGCCAGCTCAGCAGCTCCAGTGCCCTGCAGGATGGGGAGTGTTACGGGAAGGGGAGAGTGGAGAAGGGGAGAGTGGAGAGAAGAGAGGAGGAGAAGGGGAGAGGGGAAGTCTGGGAGAGGGGGAGAGGGGAAGTCCGGGAGAGGGGGAGAGGGGGATAGGTGGAGAGGGGGAGAGCAGAGAGGGGAGAAGGGGGAGAGATAGGTATGTAGAAACGATCCTTACCAGGTGAGGAGGTTGATTTGAGTGAGTTAAGGCTGTGAGGATTGTGCCAAAGAGATACCCGAGCACCAGCCAGCTCAGCAGCCTCTCACTCCTCCCCTTCCCATACCACCTCCCACACACGCCTCTTTCCCCCACACCCACACACACTCACCTGAGCTCAGTGTCGCGGTATTATGAAGCCAGGAGGGCCACATAATAACCGGGACAGCGCAGAGAGTTTATCGGCAGTAGAGCAGCAGGAATGCAGCAGAGGCAGAATCAGAAGGGAGGAAGAACGGGGGAGGGACAGGGATGGAGGGCGAAGGCAAGGAGAAGCAGTGTACATAATTGTACAATAGCGCCCAGGAATGTTTGCGTGAGAATGTTGGGATACGGGTTGGGGTGTATGCTTCTTTTGTGTGACGCATGTTACGTTTCCTGTACAGGGCGAGACGCTGTTGACGCGTACGAGCACAGCGCAATCGACAGGTGGCAGGAGCTGCAGTGCAACATGCAAGCCAAGCGTGCAGCTGGCGGAGGGCTCGTGCTGGAGCCCGTGCAGATCCAGACCGCCTGCGGTTTGTAAATACGACTCGGTACCCCCGAGCCTCGCCCATGTGATGAATGTGTGCTAGAAGCGCTAGGCTAGGGCGGAAGAGTCATGTTGTACATAGCTGTGCTGAAACCCTAGTGTTGGCTGCTTTGTATGTTTCCCATTCGCTTCAATGTAATCCTGTTATACCAGCCACAGGTGGTCATGAGCACGCTAGGGAACCAGCTTGTCAGTCATTAGCAGTGAGGAGATTTTCTGAGTGAGGTATCACGATGGAGTTCTATCACAGGGCACACGGTATACGGCAGACAAGTAGTTGTTAGTGCCCCAGCAGCAGCAGCAAGGAAGGTCGGCAAGTGAGTAGTCCAGGGGGGCGGGTAAGCAGAGGCCTGCAGGCAGGAACGGCAGGAGTCAAGAGAGAGGGGCCACACAGAGAATTTCCGACATCAGCGAACCGTCTCTCGAAAGGCGACACTGTTTCATCCTGCCCGGGCTGCTCCCAATCCCCCCCGGCCCCTCGCCCCTTTCCTCCCAACACTCCTACCACCCCCTTCCCAGTCTCCCCCCCTCCTCCCTCCCCACCCACACACTCACCTGAGCTCAACGAAACGTCTCTCAAAAGGCGACACTGTTTCGTCCTGCCCGGAATGCTCCCGGTCGCTCCCTGCTGCCCCCTCCTCCCCGTGTCTCTCTGGATGCTCCAGAATCCCTCCACCGCCCGCCATGCTGTGAGCAGCACTGGGAGCATCTCGGGTGAGAGAGGTGGCTGTAGAGCCATGCTGCTGCATGCTGCTGCGGTCCATGCTGCTCTGCTGCATGCTGTGATCATGCATGTTGTCATCATGCGTGTTGTGACGCATGCCATGACCATGCATGCTATGGCGCCGCCTGTGGTCCCTGTCAGCGTGGACATGGCCTACAGCCTCAAACGAAATCCGAGACAAAGTGGTCAGCGCTCTGGACAGCTGTCTCTGAAGATGAGTCAGCGGGGGATAGGTCTCTAACCCGCCTTCATCACCCCCCGCCGCCTCTCCTCCCTCCCCACCACTGCCTGCTTCCTTTTCCCTCTCCCCCATTCTCTTCCACTCCGCTGCTTCCCTCCGCGACTGGGCCTCCATTTTCTCCATGGCGTGAATGAAAAATGCGTCATTGTTCTCGCCTCGGGTCAGCACACTCTCTGACCTTGTCAGCGCAACCCTGTTGTTGCTGCCAGCCTGTTCCCCGACATCTGACCTTGTTGACATCAATGGGAACACGCCCTTAGCTTCCTCCTCTCGCAGGTGCTTCAGGAAGTAGTGCCTCCTGATGAGAACCGGGATGAGGGATGTGAAAACGGGAAAAACGTCACCATCAACAACACCATCAGCAGCAGCAGCACCTGATCGAATGTGGAAACGTTCATACGGACGGATGCGAGGCCTGCAACGGTCAGTGCGGATGTGCAGTTATAGAGTGCGTCTATAAAAGAGATTTTTCCGAGGCTGCCGACTGGAGTGGCGAGCATAATCAGCGTGGCTATCAGGTCGACAATAACGAAGGAGAGGAAGTGGATTCGATAAAAGGTAATCTGAGAGCGGAGCCACGCGACGAAGGAACGCCAATTGACGTGCTTGAAACGGTGCCAGAGCATAGGTGAATTCTCAGGGTGGTCAGGAGGGCTGTTGGAGACAGAGTGAAGCCAGTTTCCAATTCTAAAGCGAAGCGAGTCGCTTGAAGTGTTTGCCGTGTCTGACGTGGCCTTATTTTGCTCTTCCGCCATGGAGATTCTGATTGCCCGGTTCATAGTTACACGCAGGAAAATACATAACCAGAAACTCGACCAGAAGAAGAAACATAACCTAATGGCAACGACCAGGCTTGACGGAATGATGTGGTTGGATAATGCGGACGCGAAAATACGTTTATTGCGAAGAGTGAGAGCACCATACCTGGTTCTAGTGCTTCTGTTTCAATCTCTTCAACGTTCCGTGTCCTTGCTATCGTCATCGAATCTTAAATAGATCGTAATTTAATACCTGCGATATAATATAACGTGACCTTCGACAATGTGATCAGCTTGACAGGCTTACGGATAAGATTGCCAAACGCGCGAAGCGTTTCATGTGCATCAGGATGATCGGAGCCAAGTTTGGAGCTAACCCAGAGCTTCGTGGTGCTGAGCAAAAATGACAAAGCCATGCCACGACACATTCGAACGTGGGGATGATCGTAACGAGGGGCCTTAGCGAACGATTCACGGAGGAACTGTTGACGAAGTTCCATGATCCATTTTTCCGGAGCGGAGCAGTGGCGGATTATGAAAGTTCACCCCCAGTTCATGCGTGAAAGTTCAGGCTGCTAGGCAGAGAGGTTCATAGTTGTGAAGCGTCCTAGAATCTAGATGCTTCTATGTGTACCCATGCCATCCATGCCCTAGTACAAGTTGGAAGGAACATTGCCATGGATGGATCATGGGACAGACGCCGATAGGGGCGTGTCCAACAAGAGGGGGGCGTGAAATCTTCCAAACACCTGGTTACGGTTCCAGTGCCGCTTGTTTCACTCGAGGAAATGGTAAACAATCGCCAGTCAGTCAGAATCCGTTGACGTTCGTCGACATCCTGCCAAATTCCCTCCCAGTCAAGCTTACGCAACCTCGCTTTGAGATGCACGCGACTTCTTACGAACTGGTTGGTGCATTTAGCCCTTGTGAGGAGCCACTTGCTACAGATTTATTTAATAATTTCAACAACACAACGGCAACAAAAGGATTCTGGACTGACTGCATGATATGATAGAAGATGCGAGCTTCATGCAGCGCACAGGAAAGAATTAGCTAGTGTGAACCCAATATGGCACTTCTGAAGGAACAGACGAGGGCACTGAAGATGGCACAGCTCCAGGAGTTGACCGAGTAGCATGCAGCCTGCGAACAAACAACGTATGGTTGCATGGATGGATTAGAGTGTATTGCATGTGCATGTACTCATGAGTCCTGAGTTGGTGGCAGCCTGCAGCGAAGAGACTCCAGCCAGAAAAAGCCTTGGTTGGGGCACACAAATGCAGATAGGAACGCAGGCGCTTGAACGCAGAGGACACAACAGACAACGGTGCATGAAACTAGCATAAGACACACATGCCATTCCAGGTTCTAGTACCCCAAATCCTACCACAAGAGGGTTGCAATGAGTCGCGTGCATGCTCTCAGATTCACACACAGGTGTGAGGGCTACGTACGAGGAGAGGCGGCTTATGAGAGAGCTGGGCTGATGTGTAATTTGAGACGAGTCAGAATACACGTCACACACATGGATCAGTGTGAGGGCTACGTACGAGGAGATGCGGCGCATGAGAGAGCTGGGCTGAGACTTGGTCATTGTGAGCGCTCGTGTGAGCAGCACAGCGGGATTCTCTGTGACACCAGACAGGAAAGGAGGTGGTGGGGCGGGAAAAGTACCCGGCAACGCCATGGGCGGCGGGGGTACACAAGAAAACAGGAAAGGATGAAAATAAGAGTACGAGTCCTAGAGTGGAGTCATGGCAGTGGGGTCACTTGTGCCTACAATCGATCTGACTTATCCGTACCACACATGTGCGACGTTACGACTTGGCCGTGAAACCACAACATTACCATGCTCCCTCAGTCCCGCTCCCACAATCACCCTGGATTACCTCGCATGTCATTAGCTCGCGTCACCTGTGATTCGCTGGGCAGGCCGGCGCTGGAACTGCTTGGGCGGCGGAATGACAATGGCGGCGTCGATGTTGCCTGGTAGCCCTCTGTGGCGCCCCAGCAGCATCACGAGGATGACTATTAGCTTAGACATCACTGACCACGTGCCTGCCGGGTAGGATTGAAAAGTGGGGAAAGAAGGGAGGAGGAAGGGGAGCAGGGTCAGCAAGAGCACAGGCAGACCTCTGTGCCGCCCCAGCAGCATCACGAGGATGACTACTAGCTTAGAGAGCACTGACCACGAGCCTGGTGGGTTTATGAGAGGAGAGGGGAAAGGAGGGTAGAGGAGGAAGGGAAGCATCTGTGAAGCAAAAACGCCTCTGGTGCACCCACCTGGGAAGCTGTAAAGCAAGACGACTATGGTGTGTACCTGAAAAGCTGTAGGGCGGCGCGTCTGTGCAGTCGGGGTTGCTGGTGGGGCAGCTGTTTCCCAGAGACAGTCCCACGTTGCCGTAGGCACTGTGTGATGATGAGGGAAGGAAGTAAGAGCGAAGAGGGAATTTTGAGTTTTGAGTTGCCAAGAACAATGGTAATTGCAGTTGCTGGTGGGGCAGCTGTTTCCCAGAGACAGTCCCACGTTGCCGTAGGCACTGCGTGATGATAAGGCGGGTTGGAGGCAGGCCGAGGGGACAACAACTGCTGAGGCACCTTAAATATGAATCTCCAAGAGACATGCCCGCATTGCCACAGGAACTGGGGGTGGTGGGGTGGTGTGGAGGGGAAGATGGGAGGAGGAAAACGGAGGAGAATGGAAAGAGCAGGCGATGGGAGCAGAAAGACTAGCCTATAGGCAGTGGGTGGTGATGAGATGGAGTGGGGAAGGAGGGAAAATTTAGGTGCCATGCATCTACGTGGCTGGCAATGAACATGCGTTAGGTACAACTATTCGAGTCAACTCAAACTAGCCCAAACCAGGGCAGGGAGGGAAAGTACTTTTCGACTCGTAAGTCTTTTGAGGCACCTCAAAGGGAGAGTACCTTGATCACTTTGAAGACAGTCCAGTTGGCTGGATCAGAACTAAATTCCCCGTTCTGAATGACAAAGATGAGGAAGATGGAGACAAACAGATACACCGAGTCCTGCGCCACCATGTGCCACGGACTGCCACCATGTGCCACGGACTGCCACCATGTGCCACGGACTGCCACCATGTGCCATGGACTGCCACCATGTGCCACGGAATGCCACCATGTGCCACGGACGGACTGCCACCATGTGCCATGGACTGCCACCATGTGCCACGGACTGCCACCATGTGCCACGGACTGCCACCAGATGCCGCCCCTGTGCTGCCAGGAGCGAGAAAACCAGCACAGGACGAGTCCCATCCGGCCGCATTTCAGTCGACTCAATCGACGCCAAACCAGGGCAGGGGGGAGCGTACCTAATAATCTCGAAAATCACTTTGAAGACGGTCCAGTTGGCTGGGTCGGAGTTGAATTCCCCGTTCTGGATGACGCAGATGAGGAAGACGGAGACAAACAGGTACACCGAGTCCTGTGCCACCAGGTGCCGGCCCTGCGCCAGCACTGAGGAGTCAAGCACGCCCCCATGCAGGTCCTCTGAGAAGACAGCTAGGTCGTCCGAGTCTTGCACGTCGCGCTGCTCTCGGGAGGACTGACGTGTGAGAAAGACCGGGTAGACCGCCATGTACCTGGGGAGAGGAACGGGGGAGGAGGGGAGAGGGTAAGAAATGGTGGAAGGAGGTTGGACTGAGGAGTGGGGTGGAAGGGAAGGGCGGAGGATTCCTGTGCCACCAGGTGCCGGCCCTGCACGAGCACGGAGAGTCAAGCACGCCCCCATGCAGGTCCTCTGCAAAGCCTGCTAGGTCGTCCGAGTCTTGCAGGTCGCGCTGCGCACGGGAGGACTGGCGCGTGAGCAACACCGGGTAAACCGCCACGTACCTGGGAGATGGGGGAGGGAGGAGGGAGTAGGGAGGAGGAGGTGAGATGGAGGGTTTAACTTGTCCCCATATTTGCTTCCCTGCACGCCCCCATGCAGGTCCTCTGCGAAGACTGCTAGGTCGTCCAAGTCCTCCGCGCTGCTCGCAGGAGGACTGGCGTGCGCGCAGACCAAGGCGCGCGCGCGGACCGAGTCTCGAGCGTGGACCTTGCGCGCGAACCAAGGCGCGCGCGCGGACCGAGGCGCGCATGAAGACCAAGACGCGCGCGCGCGGGACCAAGGCGCGCGCGTGGAACAAAGCACACACGTGGACCAAGGCGCGCTCGTGGACCAAGGCGCGCGCGTGGACCGATTCGCGCGCGCAGACCAAGGCGCGCGCGTGGACCAAGTCGCGTGCGTGGAACAAGGCGCGCGCGTGGACCAAGGCGCGTGCGTGTGACCAAGGCGCGCGCGTGTGAGCAAGGCGCGGGCATGGACCAAGGCGCCCGCGTGGACCAAAGGCGCCCGCGTGGACCAAGGCGGGCGCGTGGACCAAGGCGCGCACGTGGACCAAGGCGCGCGCGTGGACCAAGTCGCCCACGTGGACCAAGTCGCCCGCGTGGACCAAGGCGCGCGCGCGGACCAAGGCGCACGTGTGGACCAAGTCGCGCGTGTGGCGAGTGAGATGGGGGAGGGAGTGGGGGGAGGGGCGAGGAGGGAAGAGGGACAAGTAGGATGGTGGCCCTAATGGTCGTCCGTGTCATGCACGTGCCGCTGCTCTCAGGAGGATTGACGCGTGAGGAACACTGGGTAGACTGCCACGCACCTGGGGTGAGGGATGGGGGGGGAGTGGGGGAGGGGCAGGCGGGATGAGGGAGGTGCGAGGGGGGAGAAGTATGCAAGGGCGATGAATGGGGGAATGGGATGGACGGAGGAGAAGAGAAGGAGAAGGGAGAGAAGGCAGGGGCACCGAGGAGAAGGTGGAGCAGGCACGAAGGGGGGGAACGGTAGGGAGAGGGCGCAGCAAGCAGCACGGAGTATAGCAAGGCCTAAATTGGCCTGGGTAAGTGTGGCAGGAAGCGTGTCCGGCGGTAAGGTAAGCCCTGGTGGCCCAGACTCACATGAAGCCACAAAAGAGGAAGTTGGTGGCGGCAGTGAGGTTTGAGAGGGTGATGGTGGAGTATGGTGGAAAGTCGAGTCGAATGTCACCTCAGCCCGGCACCCAGAGACTCACATGAAACCACAAAAGAGGAAGTTGGTGGCAGCTGTGAGGTAGGAGATGTTGACAATGGAGTAGCCCGCGTTGCGCGTGCTCACTGACTGCATCCAGCTGTCAAAGAATCGGTACCCACCTGCGAGGGAGCAGGAGTAGTGGGGGGGAGAGGGAGGGAGAGGGAATGTGTGGTATAAGAGGGGCAAACAGGCTGACAATGGAATGGAGTACCCCTTCTTAAACCTGCGCGTGAGGAAGCACCCACTGTGTGTGTGCTCTGCTCACTGACTGCATCCAGCTGTCAAAGAAACGGTACCGACCTGGTGGGAGAGAGGTGGTAATTGGAAAATTGGGGAGAACGAGAGGTAGGCAGGAGAGGGTGATGATAAGTTTTTAACGAGACTCACAGGCTGCATGGCATGGCATGGCATGGCATCAAGTGGTGCTGAAGCCGACAATGGCGAGCAGCAGCCAGAGCGTCTGTCTGTGTGGGTGGGAAGAAGCCATGCCTTGCGCTTACAGCTGAGCGCAGCACTGGCCTGAATTGACAGTTACAGACGAGGGCCACGAGGAAAGAAAGAAAGCAACCTTCGAGTATGAGATCAGGAGGTTTTGGAGGTCCAATCACCACCTTGCCGTGCACTCACCTCCGAGCCCTTCAAAGGCCTGGGAGTTCCAGTCGAGAGCCATAATAAAGAAAGCCTGGATGGTGTTGAAGGCGACGATTGTGAGCAGCAGCCAGAGCGTCTGCTTGTGTGGGAAGAGCTGCGTGTAGCACTTGCGCGGATGGTCCAACAGGTACTTGGTTATGTGCCTGACAGGGGGGAAGGGGAGTGGGGGGAGGAGAGTGGGAGGGAGAGGAAAGAGCTGTGTGTGTGTAGCACTTGCGCTGATGGTCGAACCGGTACTGAGTTATGTGCCTGATGGGCGAACCGGTACTGAGTTATGTGCCTGATGGTCGAACCGGTACTGAGTTATGTGCCTGATGGGCGGAAGGGGAGTGGGGGAATAGAGAGGAGGGAAGAGAGGGGGAAGGAAAGGGGGGAATGGTATCTTAAAAGCATCCCGCAGGCACAGCACAGCAGCGCAAGGCGAGGGGATTCGCCATTCTTGTCTGTGAGACCAAACCCTGTCTCTCTGTTTGTCTGTGAGACCAAACCCTGTCTCTCTGTTTGTCTGTGAGACCAAACCCTGTCTCTCTGTTTGTCTGTGAGACCAAACCCTGTCTCTCTGTTTGTCTGTGAGACCAAACCCTGTCTCTCTGTTTGTCTGTGAGACCAAACCCTGTCTCTCTGTTTGTCTGTGAGACCAAACCCTGTCTCTCTGTTTGTCTGTGAGACCAAACCCTGTCTCTCTGTTTGTCTGTGAGACCAAACCCTGTCTCTCTGTTTGTCTGTGAGACCAAACCCTGTCTCTCTGTTTGTCTGTCTCTCCCCTCGCTCGCACACACAGCGCACAGCCCACTCACCATCGGCTGCTGCCCTTCCTGCTCGTCCTGTGAAGCAGCGCCGGCACGCCTCTGAGCGTGGGGGCGTACATGGTGTTGCCCACCAGGATCAGCACGGCCACAACCAGCAGGAGCAGAAGCAGGCGCTTCTATCTCCCCTCCCACGGCCCATACAGCACTCACCATCGGCTGCTGTCCTTCTTGCTGGTTGAATGGAGTAGTGCCAGCACGCCACGGAGCATGGGGGCGTACATGGTGTTGCCCACCAGGATCAGCACGGCCACGACCAGCAGGTACGGCACATTGCGCTGGAAGGGAATGAGGTTCTCGTCCATTAGTCCGAACCCCGCGTTGGCGAATGCTGACACGGACTGGAAGGCCGAGTTGAAGACCACGTTGATGCCCTTGCCTGGGGGGAATGGAGAGCGGCAAGCGTGCACAGCGGTTTTTGAGGTGAACCGAAATGCGTGCATGACGGGTGCGGAAGGGGCAGAAGAATCTTACGGGATGACAACAGATCCGACTCAACAGTCAAGCAGCTTGAGTGTAAGGCAGCAAGTTCAAGCTACTCGCCTGTTTTTGAGTCGACTCAAAGGCAGCAAGTTCAAGCTACTCGCCTGTGAGCAGATCGTGGTATTCGGGCCACCACCAGGTGATGAGGATGAAGAGAATAAAGGTAGCAAGGATAGTGCCGAAGAAATACGCGGGCACCAGCCAGCTCAGCAGCTCCAGGGCCCTGCACGGGGGAAGAGGTGCCCAAAGAGGGACAATGGTGAAGCTGACAACGCTTGAGGCGCCTCAAAGAAATACGCGGGCACCAGCCAGCTCAACAGCTCCACGGCCCAGCAGAGAGGGAAGAGAAGAGAAGGTTGAAAAGAGGGCAGGAGAAGAGAAGGTTGAAAAGAGGGCAGGAGAAGAGTCGTTTGAAAAGAGGGCAGGAGAAGAGAAGGTTGAAAAGAGGGCAGGAGAAGAGAAGGTTGAAAAGAGGGCAGGAGAAGAGAAGGTTGAAAAGAGGGCAGGAGAAGAGAAGGTTGAAAAGAGGGCAGGAGAAGAGTCGTTTGAAAAGAGGGCAGGAGAAGAGAAGGTTGAAAAGAGGGCAGGAGAAGAGAAGGTTGAAAAGAGGGCAGGAGAAGAGAAGGTTGAAAAGAGGGCAGGAGAAGAGAAGGTTGAAAAGAGGGCAGGAGAAGAGAAGGTTGAAAAGAGGGCAGGAGAAGAGAAGCCCTGCACAGTCTCCGTCTCCCCCGGTTGCTCCATTCGGCCCCTGTCCCCTTCCCCCCCCCCCTCCTACTTCGTACCTCTTTCCCCTGTCCTCTCCCCCCCATTCCCCCACACCCACACACACTCACCTGAGCTCAACGAACCGTCTCTCAAAAGGCTCCACTGTTTCCTTGTGCCCGGACTGCTCACAATCACCCCCTGCCCCCTCCTTGCCCCCCTCCTCCCCATACCCATCGTTCCCCCATTCCCCCACACCAACACACACTCACATGAGCTCAACGAATCGTCTCTCAAAAGGCGCCACTGTTTCCTCCTGCCCAGGCTGCTCCCAATCGCTCCCTGCCCCCACGCCCCCCTCGCCCCCCTCCTCTCCATACTCCTCCGAAAGCTCCTCCACAATCCCCCCACCAGTCGGCCTGTTCCGACTGCTCGCCACGCTGTGAACAGCACTGGAGCCCCCCCTGGGGGGAAAGGCGGCTGCAGCAGCAGTTGACTCATGGTGCTGCATACTACTACCGTGCTGCATGCTGTGATCATGCGTGCTATGACTCTGCATCATATGGCTCTGCGTGGTATGGCTCTGCATGAACTGGCTCTGCATGGAGCCTCGGCCAGAGTGTGCATGTGCAACAGGTTCATTTGTAGTCCGAGACACAGTGGTCAGAGCTCGAGACAGCTTCCTCTGCAGCCGAGTCAGTGGAGGGTTTCTCCCAACCCCGCCTTCCTCAACCCCATCCTCTCCTCCCTCCCCACCGCCACCAGCCTCCCTTTCCCTCTCCCTCATTCTCTCCCACTCTGCCTCTTCCCTCCGCCTCTCCGCCTCTATTTTCCCCATGGCATGTCGGATAAACACGTCGTTGTTCTCGCCCCGGGTCAGCACACTATCTGACCGTGTAAACGCAGCCCTGTTGCTGCGGCCGGGCTGTTCCCCAACGTCTGATGTCGTTGCCAGCAGTGGGAACGCGCCCTTAGCTTCCTCCTCTCGCAGGTGCTTCAGGAAATAGTGCCTTCGAATAAGAACCGGGACGAGCGAAGTGAAAATGGCACTGCCTATCATCATGAGCAGCAGCAGCAGGACCTGATCAAATGTGGAAAAAACATTCATACGGACGGACGCGAGGCCTGTAACGGTCAGTGCAGACGTGCAGTTAAAGAGTGCGTCTATAAAGGAGATTTTTCCCAGGCTGCCGGCAGGAGTGGCGATCATAATTAGCGCAGCGATAAGATCAACTATAACAAAGGAGAGGAAGTGGATTCGATAGAAGGTCACTTGATTGCGGAGCCACGCGAGGAACGAACGTCCATTGACGTGCTTGAAACGGTGCCAGAGTGCAGGTGAATTCTCAGGGTGCTCAGGAGGGTTGTTGATGGAGACAGAGTGAAGCCAGTGTCCATTTTTGAAACGAAGAGAGCCGCCTGAAGAGTTTGCCGTGTCTGGCATGACCTTGCTTTGCTCTTCCGCCATAGGAATCCTGATTCTCCGTTCATGATTAGTAGTTACACGCAGGGAAATGCATGATAAAACATTGAAGGAAGAGAACATTTTCGGCATTGACTCCATTACGCCAGGTTCGAAAGCTAGAAAAAAACTTTGAAAATGAAAAAGGAGGGAAAAAAAAAAAAAACAAACCAACAAAAGAACTTCGTGGGAACGACCTGATGATGGCAATGACCAGGCTTGACGAAATGTGGTTAGATAATGCAGAATTGACACCATTGGTGAAGTCAACAGAGCGCGACAGCACGGTAAGACCATACCTTGGTCCTAATGCTTCGGTTTCGGTTTCTTCTACGTCCCGCGTCGTTGCTGTCGTCATTAGTAAATTAAAACCTGTAGTCTGATTTTTGCTATTTATCTTAACTACGCACTTCTAATGAGAACCCGGCAAGCAAGCTTTTCAAGAGATAGACGTGCCTTCTACCGACTACTTCTGACAACCTACAACACATAACTGCCAATGCACTTGACAGGTTTCAGAACTAAAATCGCCTCACATGCTCCATGTACATCAGGAGGATGGATGATCAGAAGAACCAGAGCCAAGGTCCAGACACCAGAGTTGGTGTTCATGAAAGTTCGTTACAGTTCACCCATGAATGTTCAGGCTGCTGCTGAGCTGAGTAGAGGAGTTCAAAGTTGTGAAGGGGTGAAACCGCTTCATCGTACTCAACCGTTTCCAATAAGCAAATTAACGAGCCCGAGCTCACGACGAACAATGTACGCGGCAGGGCATTCTCCATTGTCATACAGGTACGGTTTCTACAACCCAGCTCAAGCATCAAATACACAAACGAATGTGGCTTCGGTACCTGTGTGTAGAGGATAATGAGGTGCAGTTATGTGCTCCCACCTCCAATGCACGCTCGTCACGTCGTCCTCATTGCACGTCTTTCTCCTCACTACGCACACTCCCTTCCCATGGCGGGCGGGTTTGGTTGTGAGGTCTCATTTCAAGAAGTGCAGCTAGATAGGTTGGTCAGATGGTTTGCGTTGAAGAGTGGTATCGAGTAGTTTAGAACGGTTGAGTAGAGTCTGCGAAAAGGCTCCAACGTAGCAACCGTGTGGGACAAAGGCGTTGTCTCGTTCTGGCTGCTGTGTGTCTGACTGAACAGTCGAGTTATACTGTAGTCCAGTTACTACCGTACAGTTGCTCTTTTTGGGCAGCCCTCCGAAGTGTACAACCGGTTCTCATTTCAAGAACACCAGGTAGCAGGCGGCACGTGCGCGAAAAGTGTTTCGAGATTTTCGCCACATTCGCCCTTGTCGCCACGGGCAAAAAGGTGACTGTAATATGAAATTGCATTGTGAATCGAGTTAAGGGTTTTAATTTCGTAACCATGTAAGCTTTTCAGATGACGGGCAACCGTTGTTGTTTATGAACTGTAGATGTTTTTCTTCCTCAACTTGGTGACTGTACCCCGAAATCTGCACAATGGTCAATTTAGTCACTCACGGGCAAATCGTTCGCGAGTGACTGAATTTCTAATTGTGAGAGCAAATGTTTTGCAACGGGCTGAGCATCGACTGTATACAGTAGGCCGAAGTGTACAAACGGTTCTCATTTCAACTCCCCAATCAAAATTTTGGATGAGAGTTGTGGTCAGGAAAATGTTCCCCACCCTCGCAGCCTTGGGATTGAAAACCTTGTTGGAAGCCCAAGCACACGGAGTTGTGTGTCTGGGATTGCAACTCCAGTTCAGTCTGGTCTGCCATGGTCAGAAATGGTGGTAACTAAGCACCCTACTTTGACTGTGGTGAATGAAACCGCAACAACGAACCGCGCTTCATGACCAGAGCAGGACTTGCGGAAGCATTATTTCGCCTACTGTGTGTAGGCTAGGACGTTTTTACAACTCATCCATTCTGACCTAGAATCTAAAGCAGGAAACAAGCGTCTCACACTTTTCACGGGATGCTGCTCCGAATAAAAAACTTCGTTTGTGGTCCAACATTTCGTCAAACATCATCCGGCTTGCGGTAGTCGCACCGCTATTTAGCTACGATTCAGGTTCTTTTGACATTGCGGTACGGCGCATGTTCTCGAATGTGTCGATAGTAATCAAGTTTGGTCATTTCTACTGCGTCACTAGCACGTGCTGAGCCAACGGGAGTCTGCAACCAACGAGTTTTCTCTGTCAGCCCTATGCCATTGTTCTCGTCCTAACCCAACCATCCACATGGCCGGGGTGAGTGAGTTTCCGAAGCTGTTGCGGTCGCTTAGCACTGGTGCGCGACCCTCGCAGTCCTCTCGTAGAGCCTCGCGCTGACCTCTGAGTCGACCAAAAAGTCATGCTGGGTGTGGCGGGACTGCCGAAGCTGTCACGGTCACTTAGTATTGATGAGGAACCCTCTCAGTCCGCTCGTTGGACCTCGCGAGACAGAGACACGAGAGATGAAGAAAAGAGAGAGAGGGAGAAGAGCGGGCGAGGGGAGGTGACAGGCCGAGCAGCTTCACGAAATCTTAATCCGTCGCACAGCGGCTGTGCGACAACCACTGGCGACTCGAGCGACCGCGAGAGGGTATCCTTCCGCAGCGACGCGGAGCTTGATGCGCTTCATGGCTGCCGCAACGGCCATGGCTTCTGCGTTCCCTGCCTGCAGCCTCTCATCTCCCGCGAAATGCGCTCCAACCCCTCTGACACGCCTGACTCGTCTCTCACGCCTAACCCTTCCCGCACGCCTGATGCTTCCCCCGCGCCTAACTTTCTCCGCTCGCCTAACCCTTTCCGCTCGCCTGATTCCTTTCGCGCGCCTGATTCCCTCCGCGCGCCTGACTCCTTCCGAGCGGCTGACTCCTTCCGCGCGCCCGATTCTTCCCGCGCGCCTGATTCCTCCCTCACTTCTCTCAGCTCGCGCAACTTGGCCGCTTCCATCGGGCCCGGCGGCAGTAGTAGGCGCAATCGTCACCGTCAGCAGCACGGACGGTCACGATCTGCTGCGGCGCTCGAGCCGATTCCGCGTTCTCCAGCGACATTAGCGGGGCAGCACTCTGCTGGTCTTCGCAGCCCCGGTCTAGACTCCGTTAACCTTCGCTCTGTCGGCAATAGTAGCCGTGGTGTGCAATCAGACCGTCCCGACTCTGCTGAGCGACAGGAAGCGTCGTCCGGGCGACTGGAAGCGTCATCGTGGCGACAGGAAGCGTCGTCTTGGCGACAGGAAGCGTCGTCTTGGCGACAGGATGCGTCTTCTGGGCGGCTGGAGGCGTCGTCTGGGCGGCTGGAAGCGTCGTCTAGGCGGCTGGAAGCGTCGTCTAGGCGACTGGAAGTGTCGTCTGATCGACTAGAAGGTGTTTTCGAGATGTTAGACGGAGAGGCGGGGCTGGTGGGGGAAGCGTCTGGGCGATCCGAAGAGTCGCATGGGCGACGGAGTGTCGCAGGCGACGCGGCGAGCGATAGGAGCGCGTCGTCGAGACCAGTGGGAGCAGCGGAAAGCAGTTCACACGGTGAGGGTGGTGAGATCAGACCAGACGGCCGACTAGACGACGAACATAGGGACGAAATCAGGCCTGACGGACAAACAGACGACGAGGTTGACGTTAACGGAAAACGTCAACGTTCTGGCAGGCGGGCATCACGGTTGCGAGTGAGGTGGGGGCCAGACTCACCCGACAGGGATACCCCGGGAGCAGCGGGAGAGGGCTGGGGTGGTATAGCTGGTGCGAGCAGCAGGAGCTTCAGGCATGTAGCAAGCTTTCTCCAGAATTCCTGGCACCAGGATTTGCCTGACTCGCCCCCGAGCGAACGCGAGGAGGAGAAGAGAGAGGGAATTGGGGAGGAGGGCGGAGGGAGCAGCGAGGAGAGCAGGGTGTTGAAAAGGAGAAGGGGGCGGGGATTGCGAGGGTTGCAAGGAGGGAGAGGAGGGAGAGGAGAGGACGGAGAGAGGGGAGGTGGGTGCTGGTCAAACCCGGCATGGGCTACGTACCTGAACCAGCCCGTACCTGAGAAGGTTGGGCCCGTGCCGTCCACCCCGCCTCGGAAGGAGGCCGGGCTGTGCTACGTGCTGTATCGGTGGGTTCTGGCGGCGATGAGGCGAATGCGCATCCCCATCATTCACCCCTACTCAAGGTTCCGCCGAGACATCAACGTGCTCGTGGGCGCCTGTATTCTCTACAACGTGGTGAGCTTGTGAGGAGGGGGAGGGAGAGGGGGGGGGGGGGGGGGGGGGGAGGGGGGGGGGGGGGGGTGTTATGCGCATCCCCATCATTCACCCCTACTCAAGGTTCCGCCGCGATATCAATGTGCTTGTGGGCGCCTGCATTCTCTACAACATGGTGAGCTTGTGAGGAGGGGGAGGAGGGGCGAGGGGGGGTGGTGGAACGTGCTGTACCGGGGGTTGCTGGGGGCGATGAGAAGGATGCGAGGTGTTGAGGCGAATGCGCATCCCCCATCATTCACCCGTACCCGAGGTTCCGCCTTGGACCTGCGCTCCACTCTCTTATACCACCTACAAGCCACCCTCTCCCATGTGTCTCTCTCTCCACGCCCTCTCCCATGTGTCTCTCTCTCCACGCCCTCTCCCATGTGTCTCTCTCTCCACGCCCTCTCCCTTGTGTCTCTCTCTCCACGCCCTCTCCCTTGTGTCTCTCTCTCCACGCCCTCTCCCGTGTGCCCCTCTCCACCCTGTGCGCCCCTCCCGCCCCGCCCGCCAGTGGGAGATTCTCTTCCAGATCGCCTTTGGCCTGCGCTCCACAGGCGCATGGCTCATCCTCCACTCCACACTCTCATGTCAACCCACCACCCTCACCCATACCCTCTCCCACACCCTCTTCCATGTGCCCCTCCCCTCCCCTCTCACCTCCCGCCCGCCAGTGGGAGATTCTCTTCCAGATCGCCTTTGACCTGCGCTCCACGGGTGCATGGCTCATCGTCGACTCAACCCTCTCCGCCATCTACCTCATCGACGTGCTCCTGGGCTTTAAGACCGGGTGAGCCTTTCATCTCTCTCTCTCTCTCTCGCTTTCACTCTTTCTCGCTGGAGTGAATGGCTAGCTGACCCTCACTGCGCACCTGCCCCCTCCTCCACTCTACTCTCTCCGCCATCTACCTCATCGACGTGTTCCTGGGGTTCAAAACCGGGTACGGCTTTCACTTCCTCACTTCCGTGCGATCATTACCAGCTCACCCTCACCGCTCTCAGGCAGCGAGGTGACTTTTGAGTCGACTCAAAAGTCACCTGATTACCAGCTCACCCTCACGGCTCTCCGGCAGCGTGGCTATCCTCCACTCCACCCTCTCCGCCATCTACCTCATAGACGTCCTCCTGGGCTTCAAGACTGGGTGAGTCCTTCACTTTATGGAGCAGATCGCTTGCTTACCTCCATGAATCCGCTTTTGAGTCGACTCAAAAGCACTTTATGGAGCAGATCGCTTGCTTACCTCCATGAATCCGCTTTTGAGTCGACTCAAAAGCACTTTATGGAGCAGATCGCTTGCTTACCTCCATGAATCCGCTTTTGAGTCGACTCAAAAGCACTTTATGGAGCAGATCGCTTGCTTACCTCCATGAATCCGTTTTTGAGTCGACTCAAAAGCACTTTATGGAGCAGATCGCTTGCTTACCTCCATGAATCCGCTTTTGAGTCGACTCAAAAGCACTTTATGGAGCAGATCGCTTGCTTACCTCCATGAATCCGCTTTTGAGTCGACTCAAAAGCACTTTGTGGAGCAGATCGCTTGCGTACCTCCATGAATCGCTCCCTGAATCCTCACTGCAGGTATGTGACGTGGGAGCGGCATGTATGCACAGAGAATGGCATCAAGATGATTCCTGCTGCTCTTGCTTAGTCCACCAAAAAAAAAACACTTCTCTCTGCTGCTTGCTTGCTTGCTTGCCTCCGTAAATCCCTGAATTTCTGAATCCCCGCGACAGTTACGTGACAAGAGAACAGCATGTGCGCACAAGCGACGGCATCAAGATATTGCAGCCGCAGCACATTGTCCTGGAACAGGTGCGATGGGGGTGAGGGGGTGCGGTGAGGTGGGGTGGGGTGGGGTGGGGTGGGGGAGGTGAAAGGAGTGGCGAAGTGAGGGTGTGGGAGGAGGAGTTGAGCAGCGTGACTGCACAAGGGATGGCATCAAGATCTTACAGCCACAGCAGATTGTCCTGGACCAGGTGCGTTGTGGGGGGGGTGGGGTCTAGATGGAGGGCAAGGTGGAAGGGTTGAAATGAGTGTGTGGGAGGAAAATCCTGCAGCTGCAGCAGATTGATCTGGAGCAGGTGGGTTGTAGTGCGGGAGGGTAGATGGTGGGGGGGGGGGGAAGGTGGAAAGTGTGGAGTGAGTGTGTGGGAGGGGGGAGGAGGAGTTGAGCAGCGTGTGGCTGCTGCACAGAGACGATTTTTGAGTCGACTCAAAAGTTGAGCAGCGTGTGGCTGCTGCACAGAGACTGGCATCAAGTTCTTGCTTGCAGTCGCACCAGATTGAACCTAAGTTGGATTTTACGTTTTACGGTTTGTTACGTTTTCGTTTATTTACGACGTTTTTTACGTTTACGAACGTGGATTCGACCCTAGGTTTACAGTCACCAGAAAACCTTTTTTGGGCTGCCCGGGGAAAAAAAAAAACAGAGTACTAGGGAGACTCATTCTGTAGGCATCATGTCAACTTTGAAGAAAAGATAATACCCTAGACACAAAATCCAGTTAGAGGCAGCACCCCATCTCTACTCCTCCTCCTCCTCCTCCTCCTCCTCCTCCTCCTCCTCCTCCTCCTCCTCCTCCTCCTCCTCCTCCTCCTCCTCCTCCTCCTCCTCCTCCTCTCCTCCTCCTCCTCCTCCTCCTCCTCCTCCTCCTCCTCCTCCTCCTCCTCCTCCTCCTCCTCCCCCTCCCCCTCCTCCTCCTCCTCCTCCTCCCCCTCCCCCCCCCCCCCCACCTCCCCCTCCCTAACACAACACGGTCATCTCCCTCCCACCTAAATCCTTAACTCGCTATCTTGTTCGACGTCAACCTACCAGCTCGTTCGTATCCTATCGTATTCCTCTCCTACTAGTCAACGCTGAATCTTTTCACGGACTCGAAAGGCGCTCCATACCTAGTAAAATCGCTATTCTAGAAATGCACATGGCGGATTAGTAGTAGGGTAGTACCTGTACATAATCCAGGGGAAAAAAAAACCCGAAACCCTGAACTTTTTTTTACGCTGCCCACCTCAGACTTACGTGTAACTTAACGTTCGTAAACGGAAACGTAAAATTTCGCGAAATTTACGTTTACGAGACCTCAAAAAACGTGAGTGCCCAACTTAGGATTCAACCACCCCACTCACATCAGCTCCGCATAGTGTCGCACTACCTGCGCACGTGGCTCCTGCTCAACCTCCTCTCATCGCTCCTCATGGAACTCACCACCCCATCTCTTCCTCTTCCCCTTCCCCTCCCCCTGCCCCTGGACCTTGCGCCTTCCCTTCCCTTTGTCCTCTCTTCCCTGCCCCCATGGCCCCTACTCCTCTCATCAGCGCCGCATAGTGTGGCACTACCTGCGCACGTGGTTCCTGCTCGACCTCCTCTCTTCGCTACCCATGGACCTCATCATCTCCCTCACCACCACCTCCTCCTCCGGCTTCTGGATCTCCACTGTGAGTGCCTGAGAGAGCTTGAGTGCTGCCAGGGGTGCTAATTGCACCTTTAATGAAGACCATTTCATCTTCCATCAACTCAACAACACCCTCACCACCACCTCCTCCTCCGGCTTCTGGATCTCCACTGTGAGTGCCTGAGAGAGCTTGAGTGCTGCCAGGGGTGCTAATTGCACCTTTAATGAAGGCCATTTCATCTTCCATCATCTCATCATCTCCCTCACCACTACCTCCTCCTCCGGCTTCTGGGTCTTTACCGTGAGTGCTCGAAGGGGGTGCCGTTGGGAGTGCTTGAGCTTTTGAGCCTTGGCGCACCACCAATCCCCCTCCACGCACCAAGGAGCACCACTTTATTCTTGCTCTGAACCTATTCTTGCTCTGAACCTATTCTTGCTCTGAACCTATTCTTGCTCTAAAAGAAACCGCTGCCTCGTAATGTCTCCCACCACAAAGCTTTTGAGGCTTGGCTCACCACCAATCCCCCTCCACGCACCCCTATCCGCTCATGCTCATCCCCATCCTCTCCTTGCTCCCCATGGATTTAATCATCTCCCTCATCACCACCCCCCTGTCTCCAGGTGTTCCAAGCGCTGAAGCTCTTCCGCATGCGCCGTCTGCTGAACGCCACGGCACGGACTAGCTCAGAACCTCATGCTGTCCCCCTTTGAGCCATGCTCCCCATGCCCCCCCCCCCTCAGGTGTTCCGAGCGCTGAAGCTCTTCCGCATGCGCCGTCTGCTGAACGCCACGGACCAGCTCAGAACGTCCTTCCTGCGCTCCACGTGGATGGAGCTCACCGTGCTCATCCTGCAGGTGGGTGGGTGGATCGGTGCAAGGCCCACGTGGGTGGGTGAATTGGTGCAAGGCCCACGTGGGTGGGTGAATTGGTGCAAGGCCCACGTGGGTGGGTGAATTGGTGCAAGGCCCACGTGGGTGGGTGGGTGGGTGGGAGGCTCTCTCTCCATCCTGCAGGCGACTGGGTGCGGTGCTGCCTGAGCGTGGGTGGGTCCTCTGGACCCATCCTCATTGTTCAAGTCCGTGGGTGGGTCCGCACACTTGAGGATCTGCTTCCTCATCCTGCATTCCGCCATCTACACCATCTCCCTGCTCTGTCTGTCCGCCCCTTCTTCTGCCGCACATCCGCATGCTCCGCCTCGTGGGCGTGTGCGTGCTTTTCAGCTGCCGCAAATCTCCCCATTGAGTCCCCCCCCTCTGTACACTCACTCAGTCCCTCCCCTTCTCACTCGCTAACTGCTCTACCCCAGATCTGCATGTTTTGCCATGTGGGCGCGTGCGCCTTTGCTCTGATTGGCCGGCTCGAGCCAGAGGGCCAATCGTGGCTCGCCAACTTCTTCTGGGACGACAACGGGGAGGCGCAGCCTCTGGAAACGGCGCCGCCACTTGTCGCCTACGTGGCGGCCACCTATTGGTCCATGGTCACATTTGCCTCGGTGAGTTTTCCTGCACATGCCTACTGGATATTGTGATACCACTTATCGCCTACGTGGCACCCACCTATTGGTCCATGGTCACCCTGCCTCGGTGAGATCTCATCCCCTCTTCGTTTGTCCTTCTCCTCTCATCCCTTTCCTCTCATCCCTTTCCTCTCATCCCTTTCCTCTCATTCTTTTCCTCTCATCCCTTTCCTCTCATCCCTTTCCTTTCATCCCTTTCCTCTCATCCCTTTCCTCTCATCCCTTTCCTCTCGTCCCTTTCCTCTCATCCCTTTCCTCTCATCCCTTTCCTCTCATCCCTTTCCTCTCATCCCTTTCCTCTCATCCTTTTCCTCTCATCCCTTTCCTCTCATCCCTTTCCTCTCGTCCCTTTCCTCTCATCCCTTTCCTCTCGTCCCTTTCCTCTCATCCCTTTCCTCTCATCCCTTTCCTTTCATCCCTTTCCTCTCGTCCCTTTCCTCTCATCCCTTTCCTCTCATCCCTTTCCTTTCATCCCTTTCCTCTCGTCCCTTTCCTCTCATCCCTTTCCTCTCATCCCTTTCCTCTCATCCCTTTCCTCTCATCCCTTTCCTCTCATCCCTTCCTCTCATCCCTTTCCTCTCATCCCTTTCCTCTCATCCCTTTCCTCTCGTCCCTTTCCTCTCGTCCCTTTCCTCTCGTCCCTTTCCTCTCATCCCTTTCCTCTCATCCCTTTCCTCTCATCCCTTTCCTCTCATCCCTTTCCTCTCATCCCTTTCCTCTCATCCCTTTCCTCTCATCCCTTTCCTCTCATCCCTTTCCTTTCATCCTACAACCTGCTCACAGCCATCGTGCTGGGCTGTGCTGCTGTGTGACGTGACCTCTCTCATCCCACACCCTCATGCCCCACTCTCCTTACTCCATGCACTTCATTCATGTTCTTTCTATGTTCATGGTTCTCTTCGTGTGCAGGTGGGCTACGGAGACATCTACCCCCAGGACACCATCCCAGAGCGCATCTTTGGCAAGCATGCTCAGGGCCATGCTCTCTATTCCTCCCTCCCTCCATGCCTCATTGCATGCACTTCATTCATATGCTCACACTGCAGGTGGGCTACGGAGACATCTACCCGCAGGACACCATCCCAGAGCGCATCTTTGGCACCATTTACAACCTGCTCGCAGCTATCATGCTGGGTTACGCTGTCGGTCAAATTACCTCTTTAATCTATGCCAGCAGGTAATAACCTCCTTAATCTAGTCTATCGGGGTGAGTGCTTAATCTACTCCTGCCGCCATGCACCCGTCATTCTAGGCTACACTGTCTGCCACAGGCCCAGAAGCCAGTGCCGTGCCGTGCTGGTTTTTTTGTCATTCTTGTGCCAGGCCTCGTCTGACCGCTTTTGACCGCTTCTGATCTCTTTCTAACCTCTGCTTCTGCCACTATCCTTGCCTCTGCTGCTGTCTCTGCCTGTGCTTCTGCCTGTGCTTCTGCCTGTGCGTCCACCCCCACAGGGAGCGTCGGGAGAATGCAAGGCAGCGATTTGGAACACTCCACAAGTGCGTGCCTCCCCTCTCCCCTTTGCCCTCCTCATTCCATGCTCGGGAGCTATCCACATGTTACGAGTCTGTACAGTGCACACCCCCTCTTGGTTTCCTACCCATCTCCCCGTCCCCATCCCTCTCCCGTCTCCGTCCCCTCTCCCGTCACCTGTCTGCATCCCTCTCCTCCCCCGAAATCCTCCCTTCCAAACACTCTAGAACCCATATCCTCCCTCATCTCCCTCCCTCATGTCCCCCCAATGCCTGCCCGCCTGCCCGCCTGCCCGCCTGCCTGCATGTTGCCAGGTTCATCGAGAGGGAGGAGCTGCCAGAGTGGCTGGCCAACCGCCTGGTAAGCCTTTTATACGGTTCGGCTGGAATCGGTTAATCAAACCCACTTGGTACCCGCTTTGGCCTTTTAGAACTCTGAAGAATGACCCAGATGTACCCGCCCTGCTTGGTACCCGCTTAGGCCTTATAGAACTCTGAAGAATGACTCAGATGCACCCGCTTGTTACCCGCCTAGAATTCTTTCTGCGCAGCTTCTTGTGACTGCAACTCAAGAATCACCTAATCAATAGAACTCTGAAGAATGACTCAGATGTACCCGCACTGCTTGGTACCTGCTTAGAATTCTTTCTGCTCTCAGCTTGTTCTGGCTGCGTCTACCTGCCAGTGAGTGAGATGACTCCGTTTGTGGTCCTGTTGTGTCTCCCCCCCAAATGGTGCATCTCACGCGCCAGTGGCAGACGCACATCAACTGCAACAGGGGATTGCTTCCTCATCTTTCCTCCCCCTCTCCCCCCTCTCCTTTCCCCCTCCCCCTCTTCCCCTCTCCCCTCGGCCCCAGATGGTGCATCTCACCCGCCAGTGGCAAGCGCAGCTCTCGCAGAAGTTTGACGAGTTCGAGCTCATGGAGAGCCTCACGGTGAGATGCTCATGGAGACGAGTCGTATGGTGCGAAGCTTATGAGCTGATCGTGGTGAGACGAGTCGTATGGTGCGAGGCTTATGAGCTGATCGTGGTGAGACGAGTCGTATGGTGCGAGGCTTATGAGCTGATCATGGTGAGACGAGTCGTATGGTGCGAGGCTTATGAGCTGATCGTGGTGAGAGGAGTCGTATGGTGCGAGGCTTATGAGCTGATCGTGGTGAGACGAGTCGTATGGTGCGAGGCTTATGAGCTGATCGTGGTGAGACGAGTCGTATGGTGCGAGGCTTATGAGCTGATCGTGGTGAGACGAGTGGTATGGTGCGAGGCTAATGAGCTGATCGTGGTGAGACGAGTCGTATGGTGCGAGGCTTATGAGCTGATCGTGGTGAGACGAGTCGTATGGTGCGAGGCTTATGAGCTGATCGTGGTGAGACGAGTCGTATGGTGCGAGGCTTATGAGCTGATCGTGGTGAGACGAGTCGTATGGTGCGAGGCTTATGAGCTGATCGTGGTGAGACGAGTCGTATGGTGCGAGGCTAAGTTGGAGTATACGCTCAGAGCCTCAAGCGTATCGCGTTTATACGCTTGCGTTTTAACGCTATACGCAAAACGCTAGGGAATACGCAATACGCAGTCAGAAAAGTTTTAGGGCTGCCCGAAAAAAAATCGCGGAATAGGTGCGGAATTTCTTCGTGAGCATTTCGCGAAAGTCGAAATGCTAATCGGTGGTCTAGGCAAGCGGAAATGTGACTTCGAAGTTGGGAGGCATGTCTGGGAATCGAAATGTTGAATCTCATATTAGTACCGCACTGGAACCCATAACATCTACGAACTCCAACCTGTCCAGAACCACCCCCCCAACAAACCCCACGCTGCTTACCAGCCAGTCAGCCCTAATCTCGACATTTCTACATTTCGTTTCATCTCGATCTCGCCGACTTGATACTTCTCAACGAGTATGACTAGACTGCGGGCACCAACTTCGTGCTTTGCACCTCGCCCATCCCCCGCTAAAGACCAAACAACTGCCCGGGAAAAAATTTTAGGTGCCCGGGCCTGCGTATTCACTGCGTACAGGAAGCCTCCCAAGAAGCGTTCAGCGTTTATACGCTAGCGGATAAACGCTAGCGTATGAAACGCGAAACGCGTATATTCCAACTAAGGTGCGAGGCTTATGAGCTGATCATTGTGAGACGAGTCGTATGGTGCGAGGCTTATGAGCTGATCGTGGTGAGACGAGTCGTATGGTGCGAGGCTTATGAGCTGATCGTGGTGAGAGGAGTCGTATGGTGCGAGGCTTATGAGCTGATCGTGGTGAGACGAGTGGTATGGTGCGAGGCTAATGAGCTGATCGTGGTGAGAGGAGTCGTATGGTGCGAGGCTTATGAGCTGATCGTGGTGAGACGAGTCGTATGGTGCGAGGCTTATGAGCTGATCGTGGTGAGACAAGTCGTATGGTGCGAGGCTTATGAGCTGATCGTGGTGAGAGGAGTCGTATGGTGCGAGGCTTATGAGCTGATCGTGGTGAGACGAGTCGTATGGTGCGAGGCTTATGAGCTGATCGTGGTGAGACGAGTCGTATGGTGCGAGGCTTATGAGCTGATCGTGGTGAGAGGAGTCGTATGGTGCGAGGCTTATGAGCTGATCATGGTGAGACGAGTCGTATGGTGCGAGGCTTATGAGCTGATCGTGGTGAGACGAGTCGTATGGTGCGAGGCTTATGAGCTGATCATTGTGAGACGAGTCGTATGGTGCGAGGCTTATGAGCTGATCATGGTGAGAGGAGTCGTATGGTGCGAGGCTTATGAGCTGATCGTGGTGAGACGAGTCGTATGGTGCGAGGCTTATGAGCTGATCGTGGTGAGACGAGTCGTATGGTGCGAGGCTTATGAGCTGATCGTGGTGAGACGAGTCGTATGGTGCGAGGCTTATGAGCTGATCGTGGTGAGAGGAGTCGTATGGTGCGAGGCTTATGATCTGATCATGGTGAGACGAGTCGTATGGTGCGAGGCTTATGAGCTGATCGTGGTGAGACGAGTCGTATGGTGCGAGGCTTATGAGCTGATCATTGTGAGACGAGTCGTATGGTGCGAGGCTTATGAGCTGATCGTGGTGAGACGAGTCGTATGGTGCGAGGCTTATGAGCTGATCATGGTGAGAGGAGTCGTATGGTGCGAGGCTTATGAGCTGATCATGGTGAGAGGCGTCGTATGGTGCGAGGCTTATGAGCTGATCGTGGTGAGACGAGTCGTATGGTGCGAGGCTTATGAGCTGATCGTGGTGAGACGAGTCGTATGGTGCGAGGCTTATGAGCTGATCGTGGTGAGACGAGTCGTATGGTGCGAGGCTTATGAGCTGATCGTGGTGAGACGAGTCGTATGGTGCGAGGCTTATGAGCTGATCGTGGTGAGACGAGTCGTATGGTGCGAGGCTTATGAGCTGATCGTGGTGAGACGAGTCGTATGGTGCGAGGCTTATGAGCTGATCGTGGTGAGACGAGTCGTATGGTGCGAGGCTTATGAGCTGATCGTGGTGAGACGAGTCGTATGGTGCGAGGCTTATGAGCTGATCGTGGTGAGACGAGTCGTATGGTGCGAGGCTTATGAGCTGATCGTGGTGAGACGAGTCGTATGGTGCGAGGCTTATGAGCTGATCGTGGTGAGACGAGTCGTATGGTGCGAGGCTTATGAGCTGATCATGGTGAGATGAGTCGTATGGTGCGAGGCTTATGAGCTGATCATGGTGAGATGAGTCGTATGGTGCGAGGCTTATGAGCTGATCGTGGTGAGACGAGTCCTATGGTGCGAGGCTTATGAGCTGATCGTGGTGAGACGAGTCGTATGGTGCGAGGCTCATGAGCTGATCATGGTGAGACGAGTCGTATGGTGCGAGGCTTATGAGCTGATCGTGGTGAGAGGAGTCGTATGGTGCGAGGCTTATGAGCTGATCATTGTGAGACGAGTCGTATGGTGTGAGGCTTATGAGCTGATCATGGTGAGATGAGTCGTATGGTGCGAGGCTTATGAGCTGATCGTGGTGAGACGAGTCGTATGGTGCGAAGCTTATGAGCTGATCGTGGTGAGATGAGTCGTATGGTGCGAGGCTTATGAGCTGATCGTGGTGAGACGAGTCGTATGGTGCGAGGCTTATGAGCTGATCGTGGTGAGAGGAGTCTTATGGTGCGAGGCTTATGAGCTGATCGTGGTGAGACGAGTGGTATGGTGCGAGGCTAATGAGCTGATCGTGGTGAGAGGAGTCGTATGGTGCGAGGCTTATGAGCTGATCGTGGTGAGACGAGTCGTATGGTGCGAGGCTTATGAGCTGATCATGGTGAGACGAGTCGTATGGTGCGAGGCTAATGAGCTGATCATGGTGAGACGAGTCGTATGGTGCGAGGCTTATGAGCTGATCGTGGTGAGACGAGTCGTATGGTGCGAGGCTTATGAGCTGATCGTGGTGAGACGAGTCGTATGGTGCGAGGCTTATGAGCTGATCGTGGTGAGACGAGTCGTATGGTGCGAGGCTTATGAGCTGATCGTGGTGAGAGGAGTCGTATGGTGTGAGGCTTATGAGCTGATCATGGTGAGACGAGTCGTATGGTGCGAGGCTAATGAGCTGATCATGGTGAGACGAGTCGTATGGTGCGAGGCTTATGAGCTGATCGTGGTGAGACGAGTCGTATGGTGCGAGGCTTATGAGCTGATCGTGGTGAGAGGAATCGTATGGTGCGAGGCTTATGAGCTGATCGTGGTGAGACGAGTCGTATGGTGCGAGGCTTATGAGCTGATCGTGGTGAGACGAGTGGTATGGTGCGAGGCTAATGAGCTGATCGTGGTGAGACGAGTCGTATGGTGCGAGGCTTATGAGCTGATCGTGGTGAGACGAGTCGTATGATGCGAGGCTTATGAGCTGATCGTGGTGAGACGAGTTGTATGGTGCGTGGCTTATGAGCTGATCGTGGTGAGACGAGTCGTATGGTTCGTGGCTTATGAGCTGATCATGGTGAGTGGTTTCATGGTGTGAGCCTCATGATTTGAAACTCGTGTTGTAGCCTCCCAAGTGCCGCCAGTGGCTCATAGTATGAGGGCTCATTGTGTGAGGGCTCATAGTGTGAGGGCTCATTGTGTGAGGGCTCATAGTGTGAGGGCTCATTGTGTGAGGGCTTGTAGCATGAGGGGTTAAGGAGACGCTTACGGTGAGAAGAATATGGGGCGCGATTCTGTAGTGTGTGACAGCTCTTGGAGACCCCTTGGCAGTTAGAGTCATTTGAGAGGTCAAGAGATTCGTGTTTTCTGCTGCTTTGTGCGTGCCCGAATCCGACGGTCGGTGTTTATGCTGGCCCAAATCCAACGGTGGTCTGTGTGGTGGCTGTGTGTGGCAGGAGGACCTTCGGGGGGACCTCTTTGTGCACTGGTGGCAGCGCAGCATTGCCGTGAGGTGAGTGGGGCAATGCGGTGCAGTGCGGTGAGGGCTATTGCAGTGCGGTGAGGGCTATTGCAGTGTTGTTGAGGTGCATAGACAATACACCTCTTTGAGGTCCCCTACTCTCCTCCCCATATTCCCAGTCCCATCTTCCCGCACAGCCACGCGTTTATACCTGGGCGGCTGGGAGCGCTGGTGTTAAGTCTTGTTCCTTTTGAGAATTGTCAGAAGACCTCAGAATAAATTCGCCTTCCCTGTGCCTCCTCAATTCCGTACTGTGTCCCATCCTCCTCCCATGCCCCCAGCCCCATTCTGCCACAGAACAAACCTGCCAGCCATGCGCCTATAGCGAAGCTGCTGGGGGCGCTGGTGTTTAGAACAAACTCCCATACCCATTCCCTGCTGTGCCCTCTCCCCTTGCTCGGCCAGCCCTGTTCTCCCACACAGCCACGCGTTTATAGCAAAGCTGCTGCGAGCGCTGGTGTTGAGGAGAGTGGCAGCAGGGGAATTCATCTGTGCGGAGCATACATGTGCAAAGCAACGAGCCGAGTTTCACTCGGCTCGTCCCAGGGCACACTTGTATGAGTAATGTCACGAGCCGAGTTTAGCTCGTCCGAGTTTTTTCAGGGGAAACTCAAGCTCGTGACTCGTCTCTTGTCACGAGCTTTTAAAAGGCTCGTCCGAGCTTCGCTCGGCGCGTTGCCCTATACCAGCATGTACATGCCCATTTTTGTGAACCTGCTGCCTAATAAGATACCCTGCAAACATCAAATCAATATACCAATATCCAGACCAGGTCAATCGCCCTGGAGAGCATCAATTCTGGGTGGGGGATCAATTCTGAGCGTCAATTCTGGGTGGGGGATCGCAACACCAGCCCACGCAACGAGTGCTCGGCGAGTTTTAAAAACTAAACTCGCCTCGGCTCGGACGAGTGGTTTTCACGGAAAATCAAACTCGTCACTCACTCGCCCTCGAACGTGTACGAGCCTCGTACGAGCCGAGGCGAAAAGCTTGCCTTGTTGCACATGTATAGTGCGAAGGGCGAGGTGAGCCGCCACCTCTACATCCCTCTCGTTTTGAGGCGCCTCAAAACTGAGCCGCCACCTCTACATGCCTCTCTCCCTCCCCCCCCTCCTTCCCCACCTCTACATCCCTCTCTCCCTCCCCCCCCTCCTTCCCCACCTCTACATCCCTCTCTCCCTCCCCCCCCTCCTTCCCCACCTCCCATTCCCCCAGCCCCATCCTCCCGCACGGCCGTGGCTTTATAGCGAAGCTGCTGGGGGCGCTGGTGTTGAGGCGAGTGGCGGCAGGGGAATTCATCTGTGCTGAAGGGGAGGTGAGCCGGCTCCTCTACATCCCTCTCTCCCTCCCCCCCTCCCTCCCTCCCTCCTTGCTCCCCCTTCCATTTCCCCAGCCCCATCCTCCCACACAGCCATGCGTTTATTGCAAAACTTTTGGATGCTTTGGTCCTGAGGAGAGTAGCAGCGGGGGAATTCATCTGTGCTGAAGGGGAGGTGAGCCGGCACCTCTACATCCTGCGCGCCGGCACTGCTGATGCCACGTGGATTAAGACTCCCGAGGACGAGGAGGGGGATGGAATGGGGGTGATTAAGGAGGAGGGGGATGGAATGGGGGTGATTAAGGAGGAGGGGGAGGAGGGTGGAGTGGGGGAGATTATGGAGGAGGGAGAAGAGGAGGGGAAAGAGGGGACGGGGGAGGTTGGGGAGAGGTGGGGGGATGAGGAGGAGGACGGGGGAGAGGGTGGTGGTGGTGGGTGGAGAGGGGGGGGGAGGAGGAGGAGGAGGAGGAGGAGGAGGAGGAGGGAGGAGGAGGAGGAGGAGGAGGAGGAGGAGGAGGAGGAGGAGGAGGAGGAGGAGGAGGAGGAGGAGGAGGAGGAGGAAGTAGAGGAGGGGGGGAAAAGGAGTGGGGGAGGGAGGTGTTGTGAATGAAGAGGAAAACCTCGAGTCAGATTCGGGAGGAGAAGAGGTACTGACCAGCACTCGCTTTCTGCCTATTAGGAATAAAATAGGTTTGCTTCCCTCCGTTTGTAAAGCCTAGACAAAGTGCACCAAACACACTTCTCTGCCACGCCAAAATGATCCCTCCCTCCCTCCCTCCCTCCCTCCCTCCCTCCCTCCCTCCCTCCCTCCCTCCCTCCCTCCCTCCCTCCCTCCCTCCCTCCCTCCCTCCCTCCCTCCCTCCCTCCCTCCTCCCTCCCTCCCTCCCTCCCTCCCTCCCTCCCTCCCTCCCTCCCTCCCCTCCCTCCCTCCCTCCCTCCCTCCCTCCCTCCCTCCCTCCCTCCCTCCCTCCCTCCCTCCCTCCCTCCCTCCTCTCCTCCCTTGCCCTGCCAGCCCCTCTGCCTCTCTCCTCCGCTCCACCCCCCCTCCTTACCCCTTTCAGAACAACTCTACCCTCCCACCCGCCCTCTCGCCCCTTGTCCCAGCAGCACCCCTTCGTCCCGGGGGACCGCTCGGCCTCTCTCCTGCGCTCCGACTCACAGCGCCGCCACCATTGTCCCTCTCCTCCGTTCCACTCCCCCTTCTTTTCAGCACACTTCTTCCTTCCCTCCCTCCCTCACTCCCTCTTCCGCCCCCCCTCGCCCCAGCAGCACCCCTTTGTCCCGTTGAACCGCTCTGCGTCTCTCCTCTGCTCCACTCCCCCTTCTTTTCAGAACACTTCTTCCCCACTTTCCCTCCCACCCGCCCTCTCGCCCCTCGTCCCAGCAGCACCCCTTTGTCCCGGTGAACTGCTCGGCCTCTCTCCTGCACTCCGACTCACAGCGCCAGCTGCGCCGCTTCCTCTCCCGCTCCCGCCAACTGTCCCTCCGTTTGACCCCCGGGCAAGCCCTCAACACACCCGGCGCTTTCCCGGGTAACCCGGCAACCGCTCCCGGCTCCCACGGGAATCCCCTAGCACTGGCAGCAGCGGCCGCGATGGCAGCAGGAGTGCCAGAACCTCCCAAGAATCCTCTAGAAGTAGCGTTGGAGCAAGGGGGAGGGAACATGGAGATGGAGCATCGGGCGGTGGGGACCGGGTTTGTGATGGGCATGGAAGGGTTGCTGGAGGCGTTTGAAACGCGCATGGACGAGGAGGAATGGCCGAAACAGCGGGTTGCTCTTATCTGTGTTGAGGCCACGTTTCAGGTGGGGAAAAGGGGGAACGGGGGGAGGAGGGGAAACATTGGGGGGGAAGAGAAGAGGTGGGGGGAAGGAGAGGAGGTGGGGAAGGGTTTGGGATGGATATGGAAGGGCTTTTAGAGGCGTTTGACATGCGGATGGGGGGGGGGGGGGGGGAAAGAGGAATGGCCGAAACACTGATGGGGGGAGGAATGGCCGAAACAGAGGGTCGCTCTGATCTGTGTTGAGGCCACAACTCATCTCTCTCCCCTTCTCCCTCCCTTCCCCCCTCCCTGGCCATGACCAAGTGTGAGCTCCTCCTGGACGACCTATTCGACACGCTAGAGAGCTTCCCCCAGCTGTTGACCCTCAACTCAGATACACCCAATGTTTCCCCTCCCACATACTCCAGGCCAAGACAGAGTGCGAGTTGCTGCTTCTCCTCCTGGACGACCTATTCGACACGCTAGAGAGCTTTTCCCAGCTGTTGCACTTTGTGAGTCAACTCACATGTCCCCCCTTTCGCTGCCGCTTCCCATGTCCCTCCCCCTCCCAGGCCAAGACAGAGTGCGAGTTGCTGCTTCTCCTCCTGGATGACCTATTCGACACGCTAGAGAGCTTTTCCCAGCTGTTGCACTTTGTGAGTCAACTCACATGTCCCCCCTTTCGCTGCCGCTTCCCATGTCCCTCCCCCTCCCAGGCCAAGACAGAGTGCGAGTTGCTGCTTCTCCTCCTGGATGACCTATTCGACACGCTAGAGAGCTACCCCCAGCTGCTGCACGACATGCGCTTTGCACTGCGCCTGCCCATGGGCGTGCACGAGCAGCAGCAGAACCGCCTGGCGCGCAGCCGTGGCGTCGCTGCTTCCGCCGTGCGCGAGGCTTTGGAAAGCCCGTAGGATAGTCTTTTGAGGCGCCTCAAGAATGCACGAGCAGCAGCAGCAGCAAGAGCAGCAGCAGCAGCAGCAGCAGCAGCAGCAACATAACCGCCTGTCCCGCAGCCATGTTTTTCCCACTTCCACTGTGTGCGAGGCCTAGGCAAGCCAATAGGGAGGTTCGGTTTCCGGGCCTAACTGTGATGGTGAGGCTCGGATTCTGGGCCTACCCATGGGCTGAGGTCCGGACCGGATACCAGACCTACCCATGCGCTGCCCACAATGCTGTCTAGCAGCATCCACGTGTTTGTTCCATTCCATTCACTCCTCAGTGAGGAGAGAGAAGTTCCCTGGCTAGCTAGCAAGCCACATCACGAACGATTCACTAACCCAGCGGCACATGCTGTGCTGTGCCGCTTCCTCGAGTCACAGCTGGTTTTTGAGAATTCTCAAAAGCGTGCTGTGCCGCTTCCTCGAGTCACACGAGCAAACCAGACGGGGGATCTGTTGGGCAAAATGGTTTGCACATGGCGACACCCCATTGCCTTATGCCAATCATGGGCTAGGTAGCTGAACCTGATTTGCTTATGCCAATTATGCCCTGATGGTTTCAAAAATAAGTAGCTAGATCTGATTTGCTCATGACAACAATCTTGTATTTAATGCAAATATATGGTACCGGTAGTTGAAACTTTCTTGTCCATGTGATTACACACTACCTTGCTCTGGGATTTGGCCACTTCCATGCTGTGCGTTGTCTGGTGCATTAGCGCTTCACCTGATCTGCCAGCGGTGCAACAACCCCTTACCGTGATCAGGGGCGAGACAGTCAAGCTGATCTGTCTAAGAGGCAGCATACGGCACAGCAACATGTATGCTACCGTAAGAAGCTCTCAATCGAAGCAGCAGCTCCCAGTGTTTGCATTGCAATGTGATACCGGTACCGCTGGTCCATAAACAAAACACTCAGCAACATATACGGTATGCAATAAACTACACCCATCTTGTGTCCTACCACCCCCACGGAGTAGGCTACTACCATCTCAATGAGAGCACTTCTTCTCCTAACCCCTGCCCATGAGTTCAACGTTAAATCATGCTGTCCAGCCTTCTCCAATCCACCCCACTTTGCTCTCATTGAGAAGGAATAGCCTGCTCCTCCTCCCTCTCCAATCCACCATCCCGGGCCACCCATTACTAGTTGACAGCGCTGCAGGTGCGGCGAGTCTCCCCCTGCGTGCCAGTGAGCATGCCCGCTTCGCCCATGCGGATCATGGAGTGGCTGAACTGCCGGAAGAACGGCCCTCTGTTATGAAGCATACAGACCCACCCCACCAACCCGCTCCCAATCCCCCATCCCCCGCGCTACCATCCCGGGCCACCCATTACTAGTTGACAGCGCTGCAGGTGCGGCGAATCTCCCCCTGCGTGCCAGTGAGCACGCCCGCTTCGCCCATGCGGATCATGGAGTGGCTGAACTGGCGGAAGAACACCCTCCTGTCCGAAGCGTAACGGTTCACCAGCTGCCGAGTGCGCGAGTCGATCGCCAGCACCTGGTCACTCGACAGCAGCCCGAACTTCCGCTGAAGGTTCTGGAAGTACTGCAATGGGGAGAGATACGGGGAGAAAGGTGACTCTTGAGTCGACTCAAAAGTCGGGCTGATCGTGAGTGCCTGGTCGCTCGACAGCAGCCCGAATTTCCGCTGCAGGTTCTGGAAGTACTGCGGTGTGGACAGATACAGGGAGGAAGGAGCGCCGAGGGAGGGGTAGGTGGAAGAGTGAATTGCGATTCTTCCGGGATTCACTGAAACTGTCAACTAAAGAAACGATGCATCTAGCCATGATATAAAAAAGCGTCACGGTGGTGCATTGGAATCAAAAGCTAGGGCACATTGGCGTGTCAGTGGCTGAAGACAAGGAAGAATGAGAGAAAGAAGAAAAGATACATCGCGGGAAAAAAAATTGGCCAGAAATGGGGGCCGAAGGTTTTTCGACGGGAAAGCTGCGGGAATGTACCACCTACCTGCGGTAAACCAACACTGTAAAAAGTGACGTATATGTCACTTCGCACAAGAAACGGAAATGTGACTTCGAAGTGACTGCAAAGCGCCAATATGGCATATCCACCTTGTGCGCCTGAAGCGCACAAGAGCCACGCCAACTGAATTTACAGATCTTCATTGGTGGAGGAGATGCTACAGTAACAGGCGGGAAAAATTCCGATGAATAGTGATTACGAAACCTGTGGGTTATGCCGACATACTGGCGAGCAGAAACCACATGAAACAGACTTCGTGATTCTCGCGAAGTCGAAAATTGCTCCAAACCCATCCGCGTAGGGAAATAGAGTGAAAAGCTCGGGGAGCTCACGTGGTTGTCGAAATTAGAGCCGCTGGAGCTATCGAGGTCAACAAATATCTTCTCGTCGACATTGGGAGCTTTGCACTGGCCATTGAGGTAGTCCCGCAATTGTGGAGCCATGGACGTATCGCTGTTGGGCGTGATTCGGTGCGCGACGGAGCCGCAGCTCGCGTCGCCGATCGTGTGCGCGCCGGCGAGCGTGACGAGGTCGACGAGCGTGAGGTTCGCGACGGCGAAGTTTCGCAGGAGTTCGTTCACGTTCATCCGGTGGCCGGGCAAGGAACTCGACGCGAGAGACGCCAAGGAGGTGCGCGAATCGCGGCGGCCCAGGTCCACAGGCCAGAACGGACCGCCAGCCTGCCAGGGGACACAAGGCAACCAGAGACGAGTTTTGAGGCACCACGAATCTACTTTTGAGGCCCCGCGAATTGCGGCGGCCAGGTCCGTAGGCCAGTACGGGCCACCAGACTGGCGCGCGACACCGAGGCAACCAGAGGCGAGCATGATGCAACGTGTAGAACGCGGCATGGGCGGCGGCGGGAAGGATATACGCGCAGGATAGATGCTGGAAGTGTGTTACGTTTTGCGGCAGCAATGCAGCGCATCTAACAGAAAATCGATGATCTCGAAGCCGTGGAGAGTCAGGGTAGGCGGCGCTTACCAGAACGACGCCGTCGCGCGAGGCGAGAGTGACGATATCGGCGCAGCTGACGACGCCGGGGCATTGCGCCTCGACGGTATCTTTGATGCGATCTATGATGTCGAATCCGTGGAGCGTGAGATTGGGTGGCGCGTCTTTCTCCGCCTGGTTGTCCGCCGTCGAGTCGAGAAGCACAGACCCGTCGCAACCCTGCGACGCCGTTGCAACAAGGGATAACGAGAATGACGTCACAAGACAGTCGCCCAAGATTCTTGGCCCGTTGTGCGCTACGCGGCGTAGGCATGTTAATGACGAACTGAATCAGATCCATCCTGGAATCGTGCGAAACGTAAGCGCGTTTCTGGGAGGAATGTAATCGACAAGGAGCTCATAGTGGTACCTGAACGAAGCAGTCGTGGAAGTGGAGGCGCAGAAGCGGCGCGGGGATGAGTCTGTTTTTCATAAATTCGTCGCGGACGATATCTCGCACAATCCCCTCGACGCCCGGGCACGAGTTCCTGTAATAGTCCCTCCTCAATAGACCACCTCTGCCTCCACCTCCGCCTCCGCCTCGCGGTGGGCCACCTCCGCCTCCCCCTCCGCCTCGCGGTGGGCCGCCTCCGCCTCCCCCTCCGCCTCGTGGTGGGCCGCCTCCACCTCCGCCTCCCCCTCCACCTCCGCCTCGCGGTGGGCCGCCTCCACCTCCTCCACCTCCTCCTCCGGGTGGACCTTGCCTTCCACCTCCACCTCCGCCTCTACCTCCAGGGCGTTGTGCATGAGACGTAAGCCATGCGGCGTTGACGAGCACGAGCAGCAGGAGAAATGGCAATACACGAGCCATAACGGAAAACCTGATGTGAGGACCACGGATGTAAGTGAGAAGGAAGAGGCTTGGCTGGATGGATAACGAATGGCCCGAGGATGGGATGGGAAGCCCAGCTTTTATCCACACAAATAGCGGCGCGGGCACTTCCACAAACAGAACAGAACAGAGCAGAGGTTGAGCGGCTCGGATTCGTGCATGTTTTTTAGTACGGTATGCTACGGTGTGAGGGATTCCACACGTGCAAATGATGCTTCGTCCCTCGTGTGAAGGAATTCCTCCCCACGTACACATCCCGGCGGGATAAACAAAAGGGGTGGGTCAAACATTTTCGGTTCAACGCTTTTCTTCGGAAGGATTTCGTGAGAATTGTGTAGACTGTAGAAATTCGTGAAGTGTTACCTTTGTCGCGAATATCAGGTTCGCATCGATTGTGTTCGTATTCGAGTGCGCTGTTCACGACCTTCGCAAGGCTCCCAATGCCAACTTTCCAGCAGATTCGTCAGGACGTTTCAGCAGAGGTGCCTCTTTAAAGTTGGGCCCAATCACACGGAAGGGATTTTATTAGAAACGTCCCATTTGTCGTACAATAACAAGCTCATCTAATAAACCTCAATTGGAGGAGCAGCTCTACACTGGGAAACCGGACCCTTGATAGGTTTCTCGACAGAATAAGGTTATATATTACACCTTGCTTCTGTTGGGCTGAGAAAGCCCTTAAGGATCTTTGCAGAGGATAACTCTGGGTAGGATATTTGTAATAGCGGAAGCGTTTAATGAAGTTTGTGAACCGACCTTGCACTAGTGTGTGAGAGCAAAGTGGATTAAATTAAACAAGCAAATACAAGGTTTTATATAAGAGTACAGGGAATACGAATGGATAGATAACTGTATTTGCTGTTGCGATTCGATACAGTGCGACTCGGGCAACTGCTCAGTAACGAGTCAGTTGTGTGTCCTTAACTGTCGCGCTGTAATTGTCGAGTCAAAGGTCGCTGACCTTTGACTTTCCCGTAACCTCCAGGCGGTTACCCTAACCTCCGAGGTTTGACTCGATGCTTCGATTCGGACTGCTTCGCTAGTGTCTTGGGTTTTGACACGACAGAAGCGCACTAAGACTTATTGTTTCCAACACTCCCCTTCGCTTCTGGAGTGTCGCCGCAGGTGACGTGGCTTTGTCCAGTTAGCAGCATGCAGTAT